GAGCAGAAAACACATATCTGTTTCACACTAATCTCATCTTGTCTACTCCTCCCCTGTCATTTCCCCATTAATTCCCTGATCATTTGATACATTTTTGTGTAGCCTCCTATGCGTAAACAAAGGTATTCCCATTAGGTATTGCCCTTTTTTCCTTATCATCCACATTCAATACATTAAATATTTCTTATTCAGTGTTAGTTTTCCTCTGCATTAAATACTAGCCTTGCACAGTGTTTTCATTACTTGTGAATAATGTTTCAAAGTTACCATGTATTCATAGCTGAGCTGACCGTGCAGTTATAACATTTTCAGGTTTTGGTAGGAAAATGCATTTCAACTACAAACAATAGATTTACCATTGAGCTTTGGGATGTGTTTATGAGTGGGAGGCATGACTCCTCACACTCAAGGGGGAAGAGAAAAAAACTAAGTGATGTGATCAAGGAAATGAAACACATTCTATTACATTTCAAATCTACTTTGAATACTGGGTCTAGCCTCTCTTCTCCTTCCTCCATTAAAAATAAAAAAGGAAGAGGATATAGGGAAAGGGCATAGGAAGCTGAATGTGGTGGAAATATGATGTACTCATGTATGAAAATGGAAAAATGGGACCTGTTGAAATTTTTCCAGGAAGCTGGAGGGGGAGAATGGAGGAAGTAAGTTCAACTTTGATATATTGTAAGAACTTTTGTAAATGTCACAATGTACCACTAATACAACAATAATATAATAAAAAATAAATGTCAATTTGTATCTTTTGCCTGTCTTTATACTGAATTTTTCTTGTCAGTTCATAGGAAGTCTTTGTATATGACAGATACTGCCTCTGCATTACAAAATTTCTCAGTCATTTATCAATTGATATGTATATTATCTTTTGTCATATGCAAATTAAAAATACATAGACAAATAAAAAATGAAAAAGGAAGGAAAAAAGAAGGAAGAAGGGAATGAAGGAAGGAGAAAAGGAAGAAAGAGCTATAATTTAGAATTACATGGATCCTTACTACTGAACCAAATAGCCCCACTTCAGAAGCCCTAAAATCCAACAATCCAACAGATGTCTACTACTCAAAACATCAGTGGGACTCAGTAATGTTATTTTCTGAAAACTAATTAATCCTGCTTCTCACAGCAAGTGCTAGATTGCTTTACAAAAGAAATGTTAAGGGTAAGGAAGCTTTTATATGGATAGAAAATGTTCATAGAGAGGTTCAGGAAAGATTCTTTATAATTAGGAAGAACAGAAGACTGATGGTGAATTCCCTTCTGCAATAAAAGGACTAGGGAACATTATGTAGCAAAGTGCAACAGTGGAATCCAAAAAACCAGAATGTTCTGAAGAAGTTCTCAGCCTACTGCAGACCTGATGATTTCTGCCATCTACCCCGTGTTCTTGCCTCACTGATAAGCTTTCTTCCTCTGCTCTGCCTCAGTTAAAAATGTTCAATGAACCCATTTTTTGCTCCCAGTGTGTGGAGGGATTCTGAACAGACTGTAGAGTCTAGCTACAGACATTCTATTTGGGAATATGCATTGTGAGCTACTTGCCCCAAACTGGTCAACCACAATCCTTGCACATCTTCTTGGCTAAAGCTGCTTTTCACCATTAAGTCACTTGTCTGACTTAGAAAAGCAAGAAAAGAACTTCTGTTCAGAAGTTCACAGAAGTCCCAGTGTTTAAAAGTTTACAGGGAATGAGAGTTTAAAAGCTTTGTCTTTAAAAATTAAATCACTGTGTCAGCTACTTGTACCTTGGAGAAACAAAGTCCAGCCTGAGGGACTATGACAAAGACAAGTAATTTTGAACTGAAAAATAGGTGAGATGAAAAAACAAAAAAAATCTTTGAGTCCAGCAGTCTGGTTGAAAAATAGCAATGGAGTTAGTTTGTAAAGGGTCAAGTCTGTAGGGAATCTTCATGGTAGCAACCATCCCCATCTCTTCATTCCTTCCCTCCTAGATATCTCTCTCTTCTTCTCTCGCCTCCTTTCCCTTCCTCTCATCTCTTCTCCCCTTTTTCTACTTCCTTCCTTCTCTTACTTTCTTCTTTTCTTTTTCCTCCTCTTCCTTCTCTCTCTCTCCCCAAGATTTTCAATGTTAGGAAGGTAAACACAGTTCTTTCTACATCTAATTTCCATTAAATCAAAATGATACACAGAGTATTAAAAAATCCCCAAAGTGAGGAATATTCTCCAGCAGTCCCAGCTAAACAAATAACATGGTTGAGGGGATAGAAACCTTTTTAGAGGAGTTGGAAGTGACCTGAAAGCACAGCAGATTTCAAATCAAACCTCCAACTTAGATCCAGAAAAAAATAACATGGGTTTCAACTTTTTCCAATAATACTAACAGTATGTAAAACAGAGATGCACTCAATACATACCTAGATCCATCTAAGCTTTATGTCTTTGTCTTGGGAAGTTTAGGTAACAGATCTTATGACTCAAAGTTCAAAGTTCTATCTTGCTTAGCTGCCTCAGTTTTTTTTTAATCAGAATACATTTTCACATACATCACTTCCCAATAACTTTATGTACTTATTTGCGGTATTAAAGACTGAAACAAATTGACCCCAAAATATGATTTAAGGGGAAACAGATTTGTTTGTTTTCTGCTGTTACAGAATGGGCAGGGGAGTTCTACTTAGCTCAACACAGAGAGAAAGGAGAAGGGCTGGAGAAAGCATGCCTAATGTCTTGAAATCCAGTTCAGGAAGTGGTAGCTTCAGTCCACTCACATCCATGACCTCACTTAATTGAAAGATGGGGTAGAATTGTAGGGTAGCTACACAGGCATATGCCCACCTTTGATTTTACTAGGGACTAAATAATGATAGAGATCACTAGGAAATAGATACTTTCATGTAGGTTCAGGTTTAGATTTAGATTTAAATTTGATATGTTCTATTATTTTCTCATTGTTGAAGAGCTTATAAAGATTACACAACTTTCCCAAATTTTCACATCTAGTAAGCAGTAAATTGGTGGATTCCAGTATAAATATACCTTTTGGTGTTTGGTGGGGCTGGCTTTAAGAGAGTTTTGAATGCCATGGAAAATCATAAAAAGCTTTTGAGAAAGAAATGACACAATCCAGTGATATTCTAAGAAGATAATTTATGGACAGTGTGAAAATTGAAGTATAGAAAGAAGAAATGAAGACATGCAATCAAGAAACAGTCCAAGTGCTGGGAAGTTTGTAACTCACTTTACTAGCATTTTCTTAACACCTCCCTGTTTTCCTCCCTCTTCTCCATCATCTTCTTCTCAGTCTCCTTTGCTGGGTCCTCTTTTGCTACCCAACCTCTAAACGTTAGAGATGATCAGGGTTCAGTTCCAAATCCTCTTCTCACTCACTTTACATTCTCCCCCTTAATTCAACACCAGGGTTCCTTTGTGACTTTGGTGGTGGTGTTTGAAGTCTTTTTTTTTTTTTTCCCCACTACACTCTAAATTCCATGATGGCAGACCATGTCTGTTTTGCTCACCACTCTATCCTTACTATCAACAAAATATGCAAAATAAATGCATATGCATTTTATTCAAATTTTGTTGAATGAATAAATAATTATAAAGGGCTCAAGCTGGAAATTAAATTATGAGTTTGTTGGAGTTTAAATTCTCTTTTTCTAGGAACTTTGGGACATGAACCAATTCTAAATTTATGAGTCCAGATCAGGTTTGGTGTTTTTCTCTCTGTTCTTCACAGATGAATGGAATGGTTTACCCGATGATTTTCTGTGAAAGTCTTCTAACAAGAAGACAGGGAAGAGAAATTTCGAACCACTGGCAGGAATAGTCAGCCACTAACAATCACAAAGTATGGGACTGCCATGATAATTCAATTAAAAAGCAGATATTGGAACAAGGTATGAATTATTTATGGATAGGAATCTGTCCTTTAAAATAAGCATAGGGAAAAAAGAAGGAATAGACATAGTTTATGTCACAGAAATTTCTGATGCTCTTCTTACTTTATTGTCTGGGTAACTAGAAGTCTGGCTCTGCCAATATGGACACAGGTGAGATTGAAATCATGCACTTCTATGTGTAGATAAAGAGACCTCATCTTCCAGTAACAGAAGGAGAGAAACTCATGCAGATATTGTTTGTCCTCCAAATTGAGGTACCCCAGGGCTGGGCCCTGTGCCATCTGGATCCTTATGTAACTCTAGCCATATCGATTGCTCACACAAATTGAACGGCTATTTTTATATGCCTCATCTCCCCACTTCCCTTTCATGCGGATAGAATTATCCAAGGTGAAGGTGACAGTGAGTAGGTGATGGAGCCAGATTATAATTATGGGGTCGATATTCACTAACAGGGCCTGCCTTGACATCTACCACGTTTAGACTAGTATAAAACCTAGACCAGCAATTTTTTGAAGCATGGTCCTCAGAACCCTGCATCAGAATACTGGCATTATTTGTTAAAAATTCAGATTTCCAAGACTGAAGAATCTGTATTTTATTTGTCTGTTTGTTGGCAGTACCAGACTTTGAACCCTGGCCCTGGAGCTTGCTAGGTAGGCGCTCTACCACTTGAGTCACAGCCCTAGCCCAGGAGCCTGTACTTTTAAAAACACCTCCGAGTGATTCTGTGCCAGGTGTCTGTGGATGCAGATGATTCTTATGCAGACTAAACAATCAGGACTCACGCCTAGGCTGCCGGCATTGGGGAAAGCCAAGAGCACACTGCCTGGACAGACTGCAACCCTACTCAGCAACCTCAACAAAACCTGGCCCACGAGCCGCCTCCTGATCCGCTGCCGCAGAACGGAACTGGGCATGCGCAGTACTCAGCGCCGAGCGCAGGGCGGGGCTCCCTGAGACCTCGCCTTTCGGAACCAATATGACCCCGGGACCCGATTCTCTTCCGGTTTCTCCCGCTACGGCTCATGCCCCGCCCCTGATCCGCGGACCAATCAAGTTGCAGGTTGCTGAGGCTGGCGGCCAATGCACAGGGCTGTCTTTGACTCCTCCCTGCAGTTTGAAACTGTCAGGTAGCTGCTAAGGTAGCAGCTGGGCTTGCTGTGGTTTCAGCAGCAACGCGGCCCGGAGACTCGAGGAAGGAGTCAGGACTTGGTGGAGAGCGGAGACGGTGGATAGCGCGCCCCGGCGGCCCCGCATCCCCGGCTGAAACCTCTGCGGGGGGTTCTGCTCCCGCATCGTCTGCCCCGGCTGGGCGATTCGGCTGTTGTGCGGTAGGGTCCAGACTTTCCGTTCTGGGGGCGTCGGGAAGAGCCCGACGGAGTGAAGGGTGCTTAGTACAGCGATTGCTATCGCCGTAGGTTCTGGTCACTTATAACGCAGGGGAGAAGTAACGCCTTATTGTTATTACTAATTAGATTTAACCAGAGCTGATTGCAAGGTGTTGGAAGAAAACTTCTATCCCCTGCTTACTCGCAACGCTCTTCCCCTCTGCTTCTAATCCCCGCCTTGGTGAGGGGCTGGCGCGCCCCCTGTCTGCACCCCCTCTCCGGTGCATGCAGCCGGACCCGCGAAGGGCACCAGGGACGTCACCCTGCTGCCAGTTTGCACGCTAGTTCACTCTTCCTCTGCCTTTTGGAAGTGGCATTTGAATTCCCGGAGCGCGCTTTCCTTGTCAGCCAGGTAATTTCCAAGACATCATATCTCTGGCACGATAAGAAGTTATAGCTTTTTATCTTCTGGTTTCTGATACCTTAGAGAATACTGAAAACTTGGTGGACCAATGTACATCTGTCACCCATTAAAGCGAGCTTCATTTTTCTGCTTTGTTTCTGAATCTAGAAACAGGAAGTGCTACTGTTGTGGTTTCAAATTGTCATACCTTCTTAGCGTAAGGCATGATAGAGATGGAAGACAGCATATTTTCCAAAAGTGTAGCCATTGTTTTGTGTCTGCAGTATCTAAATTTAAGAAACAATTTTTGAGGTCCGAGAATACATAACTAACTCATTTGTTTTCTAAATAATCAGCACCACTCCACTACTGTTACCTACCAGGTCTGCATACAAATTATAAAGGAAGATGTGAATGAAAATATAAATGGACCAAGTTACCTCAGTGGTAGATTTGGAGTTATTAAAACAGCTGTTACTTGCTGTAGGTTGCTTATTTTATCCCCCCTAATTGGCTTAACTAAAGACAGTCATGCTGAGATTTATTTTACTTATCCGATGTATAGATAGTACTACTGAATAAAATAGAAATTTTCACCTGGGTGCCGGCTCACGCCTATAATCCTTGCTACTCAGGAGGCAGAGATCAGGAAGATAGTAGTTCGAACCCAGCCCAGGCAAATAGTTCAGGAGACACTATCTTGAAAGTACTCAACAAAAAAAAGGGCTGGTGTAGTGGCTCAAGCAGTAGAGTGCCTGCCTAGGAAGTACAAGGCCCTGAGTTCACTGAAATTGTTCAAACAAATGTCACAGAACTTCCTGGTTGTCAAATTCAGGGCAATCCTCATAAGTTTTTGGCATGTGACTCTATCTTCTCCAAGTCTTTGTGATGCTGCTCATATAGTTCTACTATTCTGACACCCCTTTATTAGGGTTATGACCACCTCTAAACTATATTTGAATCTAGTCTTCTTTCTAGAAAACATGCATGTGTGTTTATACTGCAAAATACTGCATACAATTTGGGTATATGGTCCTCAGGATAAGAACTCTTTCTCATACTCTTTTTAATAGATGATCTCATTTATTCCCAGTTTTCAGCAGATCCCATTAGAATAGTACTTCCTCATCTCGATCTCCATCTATACTCCTAATGTGGGGCTCCCACATTGCCTAAGTTTAGAAGCCGTCATTCACATTGTGAATACAGTCCTTGGAGTTGTGCACTGTATGGCCAGGATAGCCATTTACAGTTGTCCTTCGCTAAGTATGATGAATTGATTCCAGGGTCCCTGCAGATACCTAAATCTGCTTAGACTCAAGTTCCTTACATAAAATGGCATAGCATTTACATATAACTTATGCATATCTTTCTGCATGCTTTAAATCATCTCCAGGTTACTTATAATACCTAATACAACATAGATGCTAAGTGAATAGTTCTTATACCGTATTGTTTGAGAAATAATGGCGAGAAAAACCTCTGTACATGTTCATTGCAGGTCCCTTTTTTTTAGTATTTTTGACCTGTGGTTGATTGAATCCATAGGTGTGAAACTCATAGATCTGGAGGGCTGCATACACACAGCTTTACCCCAGTGCCTCAGAGGCAGCCTCATACCCAGCACATTGAATATGAACTTGCCCTTCTTTCCAACCTGCTCATCCTCCTACATTCCTTACCTTCATGAATAGAGTTCTCATCCATCCAGTTACCCAAGCCAGAAACCTGGAAGCCATCAGCAGTTCCTCCCTTTCACCTCTTAACCAATTATTGATCATCATCTCTCATTTCCATTGCAATAACCCAACTGACTCATAGTCTCTCCTTCCTTCCCCTTGCCTGTACTGGTGCTTTCTACACTAAGGACTCATTTATCTCCAAGATTACTGCTGGAGGAAACATTTACCTCTTGAATATAATTCAAGAGCAGTCAGCTCTTAATTGGTCTCTTTTTAGTATTCCCAGTTCATCCTCAAGGCTGCTAGAGTGATCTTTCTAAAAAACAAGGCTGATCATGCTGTCATTTATTTGAAATATTTTAGTAACTTCTCTAATATAAACACCCAACTCTTAAATCATGATCTTCCTTGAATTTGCCTTACCTTTTTCTTTCATCCTTAGCAAGTCTTACATTGCACCCTTTGCCTCAGCCTTAGCAACCTCCTTGTTGTCCATAGCAAACATGCCATACCTCTGTGTCTTTGCTTGTGCTGATATCCTTTTATCTTTGACCCATCTCTCAGAACCAGTCCTGCTTATCTCTCAGGTCTCTGTACCTGGGCCATCTTTAAAAGCTTTCTCTGCCTCCTTTCCCAATTCTTCACATCCATGCAGTCACAACTTATGGAAAGTAACTAGTTCTGCCTCCAACCTCTTTTTTAGGAGCTAACAGCAGTTTTTTCATCATTTGTTTTATATATACCCCACTCCACTGATTGTAAAGGGACTTCATTTTATAATTCATTACCAATGTACTATGTTGCACTTACGTATATTTAAAAAGATTTTATTTTAGCTTACATATTAAGAAAATACTGAAGTTATCTTCTGTTTTATAGTATTTGTGCAGAATGTTAGCAGATGAGGATAAGTACTCTCCTCCAGTTGTACAAAATGACTCTGATCATGGCAGTTCTGTCTCTACGGACCTTCAGGTAGGAAAGACATGTCTAAACTTATTGTGACTTTTTTAAAGTAAGTGTATTTATAAGAAAACCAGGAATACATTTTTTTATTCATTCCATTTACAATGATAATAAACTTTGGGAATTACTTTACAAATTTTGGAAGGACTTTACATTGCTGTAACTTTTCAGAAAATAGTCATGAATTCTTCAAACACTTTTTGTGGAAAACTTCAACTATCATTTAGTTGAATGACTCATGACTGCCACTTTGGCTTTTAATGCAAATAAATACAATATCATCCAAAGTTCTAGAGCCCAGGATTCTGTTATGGTCTACCTAATGAGGTTCTAGCCCCTGTTGCCACAACATTCAGCACAGTCTGTGGTCAGGATATGGACATTGACGGATAAGTTGGATAAATTGACTACAGAAGGTATGGTGTTTACATGCAATATTTTTTTCTTTTACTTCCTAAAGTTTCATCAAAAATACAGGTTCAGTTTTCTAGAGATTTTTAAATGAGAATACCAACATGATATAGATTAAATTTTATAGTTATATCACTTTAAAAAAGGAAAACCAGACATCGTGTTTATGCCTAGGTATAGTGTTATTGATACTGTATAGTATGGGATAAGCTTTAGGAAAATATTTTATAAAACAAGTTAGTTATTTCCATTGAAATCGTGGATTTAGAAATTGGGCTGATACTGGAAAAATATCTGAATGCTTACTCTGGTAGTTAGTCTGGTATTGTGACATTGATGTTTCACCTCACCTTCCCTTTTGATTGTACCTCTCCTGTATAGTGCTATCTTTTGAGGTGACATGCTTTCCTGCATTCTTTCTTTTCTGCCTTATCCATACTTCCCTCAAGAAAGAACTGATTACCTCATTTATATTAAAATAGAAGCACCCTGTAAGGCCTCAAACTGTCATTTTGTCAAGAGACAAAGCTTTAAATCAAAAAAATAAATCTTGGGTTTAGGATAAGGCTCAGTGATAGAGTGCTTGCCTAACATGTGCAAGGCCCTGGGTTGGATCCCTGGTACTGGAAAAAACAAATGAACAAAAATCTCTAAAGTAGAATTAAGAGAGATAGGGAGAAGAATCTTCTGGACCTCCCAGAAATCATTTTGTGCTATTGGTTACTTGCTTGTAATGTCATCCTAAATGTAAGTCTATTATTAGTAACCCTCAACTTCTGACCTTTATTAGTTATTAGACTAAAGTTGAAAAGCCTATCTACTACCTATAGATGAAGTGTTATTATTTGGAATTCCAGTAATAAAACATAATATAAATATAATATAAATGTTAGAGTGATCTTAAAAATAAACAAAATAAATATTTATTTTTGCATATGTTGTAAATATGGAAATGTAAGCATTTAATGCAGAAGTTCCTCATAAATTACTTTTTCTCCTAAGGAGAAATCAGTTACATGATAGCTTCATAAACCAGCAGATAGTAAATGCTGAGGCCCAAACAGCATTCATGGTACTTACATGCTAATAACTTCCTCCAAGCTCAGCTCCAAACTGTCATCAAGTTGCCCTGCTCAAACGATTGAGATATGAGTTGAGCTGTATTTTAGGGTCATGTCAATCCAGCCATTGCGGGGAGGGGTAGCCAAAATTACAAGTGTGGGTTGTTACTTTAGATTCTTATTTACCTTAAAACAGATTATCTTTGACAATTAAGAAAACCAATACTATTTAATCTTTAACAATGGGTTAAACAACCCATTTGGTCTGTGTCTACATAATGAAACTCTAAAATAGTTACTTTAATAACTTATTTTTCAATTTTTCCTTAAAATTAGTTAATTATTATGATCATTAGATTCTATTCTCTCTATTCTCTCCTTTAGTCACAGTGATTGTTGTAGGAACTTTGCAATATGTGTTTGGATTTTTTTCTTTCTTTTCTGGTCCAGAAAGTCAGACTAGGAAACCCACATATTAAAGCCCCTGACGTCCACTTCCCTCTTCTGTAAGCTAGAGGTAGTAATCAGCTGATAATGAGCAGAGATGATTTGACTAAATCTAGTTGTAATTGCCACCAGAGGGAGGAGCCATAAAAAGTTGATGGATCTCAATTATAGGATAGCCCTCGTATTAATCTGCTTGGACTTTCACAACAAAATATAATAGTTTTGGGGACTTGGACAATAGAAACCTATTCTCTCACAGTTTTGGAGGCTAAAAAATCCCAAATCAAGGTCCAGCAATGTCAGTTTCTGGTGAGGGCTGTCCCCCTAACCTTACTGCCTTTTTGCTCCATCCTCACATGGCCTTGGTGCAGTAGGTGCACGTGAGGTGGAGAACATGAGCTCACTGGTGTTCTTCTCATAGATTACTAATCCTATCAGCTCAGGACCTCAGCCTGTGACCTTACTTAACCTTAATTACTTCTTTAGAGTCTTCATCTCCAAATACAGCCACACTAGGTGCTAGGGCTCTGACATGTGACTTTTGGAGTGACTCAAACATTCAGTCCATACCAGCCACACTTTTAAATATTCTTAGCCAAAATTAAAATTTACTTTACCTGTTTGAGAAGTAAAACAGAGTATTTTTTTTTTTTTTGGCTGCTTTAACAGAAACCAAATAAAAGCAGCTTAGGGTGATTCTCTCCCGTAAGAGTGAGCTGAGGTCATCTAAGGACCTGTCTCTTCTCTCTAGATGCTCTGCCCTGCCCTAGGATAGTGATCACATTTGCATTGTGAGGTGCTGGCTCACTACTACCTATAGCCCATGGGAAGTGGGGAATAGGAAGCAAGTGGCTTCCTTTTAAGGACTTTACCTGCAGTTAGGCACATCATTTCCATTCAGATCCCATAGACCAAGTCTCTTGACCACACCTAGCTACAAGGGAGGCTGGGAAATGTAGCTGGATGGCCATTTGATGGGACTAAACCCAGGAGCTCTATTAACTTGAAGGAATAAAGGGAAAATGGATGCTATTGGACCATTAGCGTCTCTACCATAAGGAGTTAATGCACTTGACATTTTATATATTTTATTAGCTTATTAGGATCAACTCACATTCAGGTTTATAGGAAATGGTGAATACCTTGTTCATGACTCCAGTTTGTCAGAATATTTGGGAATTTCCTTTTATTTTTTTTTTTGTCTTTTTTTTTTCTTTTATTCGTATATGCATACAATGTTTGGGTCATTTCTCCCCCCACCTTTTATTTTAGTAACTGGAAAACAGTTATAGTTTGGGCTGTTTTAAATTCTTAAGAGTATTTAAAGAATTATTATTTTTATCAACATAAAAGTTAGAAGTTGTACTGTGATATTCTAAATGAATTTTTTTCTGTTATAAGCCTTATGTCTTAGTGCTAACTATAATGTAAAATGCTTACTTTTGTTTTCTATCAGGAGATGTCACTTTGAAACTCAGGTGTTTATTCTCATGAAAGGAATATCACTAACAAAAAGAGTTGATTCTAGCAATATGAAGGGGATTCTGGTGATTGGTTTTTCTAAAGGTTCTCTTCCAAGTGTGTGCTTCTCTTCTGTCATTAGCATATACTTAACATATACTCTATAAAAATCTGTGTTGCATCTGATATTTAGTGCATGTAAGTGTCAATGTTAAATAAATAAATCTAGGTTTGAGTTCAGTCTTTTACATTTAATTGCCCTACAGCCTTGTAGTTTTCAGATAGAATAACATAAACCCTTCTTTTAAATGATGTTACTTAAAATATAAAGTATACAGTTGTCACATTTGTGACATTTACCTCTAACAAAGTCAACAAAAAACAGTTAAGCTTCCTTGATACGTGTACTTTTGAAATTAGGGGTTGATAAGAAGCCAGTGCAGTTTTAAAAGCCTGAGTATCTGGTTTGCTTCTTTTGTTTTGTTTGAGTTGCATAAGTCAAGAAAACTCTGATTCTCAATAAAAGTAGTTGAAAATGGTAGCTTTTAATAGCTTATCTCATCTTCAATTAAACCAATCTGAAACATAAGAAAAAAGTGATAGAAAGGTTTTTACTGTCTTGAATATGTAACAGGATCTGTTACCTCTTTAACTTTTAATCATAACCATAAAAACCATCCAAGTACTCAAAGGCCTCAAGCCTGGAATAAGTGCTAAAACTCTTAGTACCATGATAAGCACGTGTCTCCCTCATGGTCATTAATTAAACTCTTAAAACAAAAAAATCCGGTAGTTGAATGTACTATAACATCATAATTATTGTAATGCGTTATTGATTATTGGCTTCTCATAGGAAGAGTATGAAGAACTGCTTCGCTATACTATAGTGACTCCAAATATTGAATCCATTGCTTCACAATCTCATCCTAAGGGAGAAATCGTGCCAGAGGTTAGAATTCCTACTACAATGGATATTCTTCATAATCAAGGTTATGTATATTTTGAAAGATACATCTTAATTTAAGGTATTGAATTTGTCATTTATAGTGACTTCTGATTGTGCAAATGCCTCTGCAGATCAGTGATTGTTCTTAGTCATTGGTGTGTATCAGTGTAAAGTGGAGCATCTTCTCCATTTTACTATTACTCCTAACAGCTGGATTTTTATTTGAACTTCATTTAACTCCTATTTTTATGAAAAGCAAGAAAGTTTAAAGCAGTGCTGTAGCAATTTTATGTTTGATGGTAGAATATGTTGCATCTCAGTTCTTGTCCCAACAATTTTATGCTTGCATTATCTTTAAAACTGAGTGTCTAAGCCCAACACAAAAAAATGGTCCCTACATACCCTCAGACTCCCTTAGGTTACTTTATGAACTGTGTATTAGTTCTTTGTCAGCAGTATTTATATGGGTATGGGGGACTATTTGGATTATTAGCACAAAGGTAGACCTACTTGTGAACTTGTGGCAACAGAATTCAGAACTGATACAAACCACAATGTGCATTGATAAGTAAAAGGAGAAAAAAGGGTAACTTTCCTTTCACCTTTTCCATTCCTTATTCAATAAAGTATAAGATACCAAACAGCTCACTCTAAGTGAGCTTTTCAAGGGTCCAAACAGCCCTAATAGGAGACAGTTACCATACTGTCAGCTTACCACTGAGGATACCTGTCCTTGAAGGCATGTGACAGAGCCCACTCTGAGGTAAAAGGCTCCTGAGTTTCCAGTAAGTCACACCCTTTCCTCACCCTCTGTAGACATGGATATTTCAGTGTTCCTGAGTCTTCAGTCTACTTCATTGGAAAACAAACAGGGCCATAAGACCAGAGCCTTAAAAAAACAACATATTATGTGCAACAGGAAATTTTCTCCCCATATTTCTTTACCTTTAAGAGATATGAAATCCCCAGCACCAAAAATGAAAAGACACAAAAAAAGAAAAAGAGAGAGATGAGCCAGGGATTCATTCATTCTGCATCAGTGGTCTCAATCATATTTTGATTACACTTAACATGCCTTAACATGCAGTTCCTACTGAGCAAGCTCAAAATGCTTCATATTCTCATACCAAGTTAAATAGGCAAATCAGCATTATAGCCCTAGATACCTCTACCTTTATGGGGATTACCAAAAGGCTGTTTCATCTCCCTCTGCCAGCAATACTCCTATACTGTTTTTTCCAGTGATAAAATTTAGGGCTCCTTTCCTTACCTATCTCCAAATTTTCTCCAAAAAAGCTGGAATTTAAGATCATCACTCTCTTCTCCTATGTAAGATAGTACTTATTGATTTAATGTTCAGCCCTTCCCAAAAACAATTTGAAATTAAAACAAAACATATAGTAAGCTTAGCTATCCTGGTTCACAAATAGACTTTGTTATAATAGACTGTGTAAACTTATCATCACACATTATCTCTATTCTTAGTAGTGTTGTCATCTGGTATAAGTAGGGTGCATTGAAGTTGGCAGGTCTCTAACACGGCCATTCTTGTGATGTTTTCTCTAGTTCCCTTTTGGACTAAAGGTCCTGAAGTGGAAGCAATGTTGTCTTTTTGGGGGGTAACCTGTGTTTTAATATGATTGTAGCAAGTGAAAAGCACCAGGCCACTGGAAATACCCAGCAAATCTTTTTTAAGGTGTACTGTCTTCCACCCACTTATTCTCTTAGTGTTATTGAATGCTGTCATAAACTGAATTATCTTTTGCCCACATTTTCTGGGTGAGATTTAACTTATCAGTGATACAAGAAGTCTTTTTCTAGTTTCAGATCTTATTCTTTTTTGTTCTTTGTCTTAGTGCTCCTGTATCTTCAGCATGTGTATTGTTTCTTTGTCCTAAAATGTTATTTATGTTATTCTACCTTCTTAACTTAAGTATTTGTAATTATTTAGGTATTTTATTTAAGAGTGGTCAGTTTCATATGAAAAACACGTATAGAGGCATAGGCAACAACTTCCTAAATAGGACTCCAATCGTTCAGGAAATGAGCAAGAATGGACAAATGGGATTGCATCATTAGCTTCTGGATAGCAAAGAGAACCAGAATGAAGAGACAGCCTACAGAATGGGAGAAGATCTTTGTCAGATAGTCATCTAACAGGGAGTTAAGATCCAGAATACACAAACAACTTTCTAAGTTCTTTAAACACCCAAAGTAAAAAAATCGAATCAATAAATGGACAGATACACTAAACAGACAATTCTCCAGGAAGCACAGGGCTGGAGATGTGACTCAAGCCATGCAGCACTGGATTCAAACCCCACAGCCACCCAAGAAAGAAGTGCACATGCCCAGTAAATGCATGGATAGTATGCATTCAGCACTCTTAAGCATCAGGGAGATGCAGATCAAAACCGCATTGATGACAGTCACGATGACTGTCATCAAGATGGCAAAGATTCGGGAAAAAAGAAACCCTTATACACCATTGGTGGGAATATAAACAGTCCAACCACTATGGGAATCAGTATGGCAGTTCTTCAAACACCAAAAATAGGGCTGGTGGACTGGCTCAAGTGGTAGAGTGCCTGCCTAGCAAGCATGAGGCCATGAGTTCAAACGCCAATACCACAGGAAAAAACTAAAAATAGAACTACCATAGGATCCAGCTATACCACTTCTGGGTGTGTACTCAAAGAAGGTAAAGTCAGCATACAACAGAGAGATTGCATACCTATGTTTATCACCATGCTATTCACGGTATTCAAGCTGTGGAATCAGTCAATGTACCCAATAACAGATGAATGGATACAGAAATTGTGGCATATGTATCACCAAAAAAAAAAAAAAAAAGGAAGGGGGACTATTTGGGAAGAAGAAGGTGACCAGTTGAAGGTGGGACAAGAGAGAGTAATGAGGGATTAATAGGATCAAAGTATGTTAAATGTGTTTTTGAAAACATTACAATTAAACCCTTTATTTTGTATAATTAATATACACTGATTTTTAAAAAGAGTGGTTCAGTTTAATCTAAAAAACCTTTCCTTTTGCAGGAAATAGCCCTGTAGTAAGAGAAACTGAGATGGAAGTTGGAAAGGGATGTGATTTAAATATCTCAAGCCATTCACGGACAGGTGGGTGTGACTTTAGTTTGTTTTGACATCCAATATCTTGTGGTTTAATGAATATTATCTATGTAATAAGAGGAATAATGTCAGTGTGTTACTTTGGCAGGATATTAAAATACTGTTGTTATTAATAAATCAGTAATATTTAAAATAATTTCATAAGATTCCAAAAAAGCACAATAAAGACAAATTAAAGCAGTGTCATCTGTTCTTAAAACTGCTGAGTTAGCAGGCAGGTATTTTTAAAGACTTAATGGGACATTAGGTTGGCCAATTTAAATCTTTTGCACTAACTCCCTATTTTCAGGCATGTGTGTACCAATGTAATAGGGGTTTTTTGTTGTTGGTGTTGTTTTTTTGCAGTACTTGGGTTTGAACTGAAGGCTTCATGCTTGCTAGGCAGGCACGGCACTCTACCACTTGAGCCATACCTCCAGCCCTTTATTCTCTGGTTCTTTTTGAGCTAGGGTCTCACTTTTTGCCCAGTTCAGCCTGGACCACAATCCTTTTTATGCTTCCCATATAGTTGGAATGATAAGTGCACCCTACCATGCCCAGCATTTTGTTGATTGAGATGGGGTCTTGGTGAAATTTTTTCCCAAGCTGGCCTGGAATCATGATCCTCCTGATCTCAGCCTCCCATGTAGCTGGGATGAAAGGCATGTGCCACCACATCTGGCTCAATGTAATGATCTTTGTCATATCTTTAATACTACCTGTCTTCTCATTTACTGTTTTTCTTTAAATGCACTCACATTTTACATTAAGTTTATTTTAAAAGGAAATTTTACATAGTTGTTCCTACATGTAATGTAAAATGAGTATACATGTGTTTACAATAAGAAAGGAATGGTAAAAATAAGCATAATGAAAACAGTTTCTAAATTTATCTAAATTTTGTTGGTGGTATTTTGTTGACCCTGAAAACTGTTTTGTGCCTTTGAAAGGAAAGACTAGCAAACATTCAAGGGGTTTTAAAAGCATAGTACAATCAGACTGAGACTCTTTTAAAGGTGAATATATTTTTTTTAACAATTAATAAGCAGAGCCTGCTGGGCATAATTGTAATTCCAGCATTCTAGAGGCTGAGGCAGGAGGACTTCAAGTTTGAGGCCAGCTCAGGCTACATAGTAAGACTTTGTCTCAAAAACAAAAAACAATTAATTTTAGAGCCTATTGCTTTTCTTGTTGATAAAATCCAGTAAAAGAATGTGTGGTTTGTCATTCTGCTTTTGTTCTTTCGGTTCCTTAATTCATCCTCAGAACATGTAGGTAGTTTTTCATAGTATGACTACCTGGAAACTTGTGTTACAGTTTGTGTGCCAAAGATACATATTAGGGAAAAATTTTTCCTTTTGCAGGGAATTCTTGGAAAATTTACTTTCAAGTAACAAGTTCAAGGAAAGCCCTTTACCCTTGGCTATTAGGACCATCATAACAAATGTGATATACTGAGAAATGATGATAGGTAGATGATGTCTAATTCCAACATAAATGTGTGCTAAGATGTCATGCTTTTTAGTTAATGGCCATACCACCCTGAAAGCACACCATCTCATCTGACCTCAGAAGCTATGTTATGCTTTTTAGAGATAGATTCCAGTTGTCTTTCTGACTCTGGCTCATCAGCACTGTCCTGGATAAGGGGTTCGTGATATGTACGTACAGATAGAGAGATGGGTATATTTCTCATGTACATATTGAAGGCTAATGGAATGCCTTACAACAGAGTATCTGACAAACTCAGTTACTATTTATATTGTTGAATCTTAGCTGTGTTAAGACCCATCCCAGTATTAAATATAAAATTATTATGACTTATATACAATCACTCTGACCTTGGTCAATTATTTAGCCCTGTGAATTTCAGTTTTCTCATCATTAAAATAAAGATGACACCTACTCCTTAGGGTAGCATATATTATGAGAGTGAATCCTTTAACGTTTGTATTATAGGAACATAAAAGGCACTTAGTTAATGTTAATATGATGATGAGTATAATAGTATCTTCAGCTCAGGCTGGACCAAGATATATAAAGAATCCTTACTTGGGATGGGGGTTGAGAGGTAGTAGAGAATTTAGGTGGCATCTCATGCCAGTCAGTCCTAAATTAGTAACAATAATGAAATTAAATAGACAGATTAAGGTATATCTAAAAGATAATCTCTCTCTATTTTTCTAAGCCTCTGTAGTTAACAGACATCTTGTAGCTTTCAATTTTATTCCTTACCAGCTGAAGAATTTTTGATTTGGTTTGATTGCCACAACTATTCTCCTCCCCCCTTTTTTTTATTAGTGCATATTAGTTGTACAAAGGGATTTCAATGTGATATTTCATACATAAATGTAGATAATGTGCTTGAATCAAATTTATTCCCTCTGTTACTCTTTCTTACCTCCTTCCCCCTTCTTAAACACTTTTGACAGGTTTTGTTACTCTGTTTTCATACATGCTTATAAAGTACTTCAATCATATTTATCTCTTCTTCACTCTCTCTTTTTGTTCCCATCCCTCCTTCAAATGACACCCCCATATTACATTTGTGTTAGTCTTTTTTTTTTTTCAGTCTAGACTCTGCATATGAGAAAGAACATGTAGTCGTTGTCTTTCTCATACAACTATTCTTTTTTTTCTAGTATCATCACCAATATTGTCACCAAGGAAGCCTTCTCACCCCGTCATGGATTTTTTCAGTTCACATCTTTTAGGTGACTCTTCCTCACCAGGGTCTAATTCTACTCATATAGATATTCATGAAATGATTGTGGGTGATCGTCCTATTTCTGATGAAAACCTTCAGAAAATGGAAAATGTGCTTGATCTTTGGAGTTCAGGTCTTAAGGTATTGAAATTGTTCAATTGTAGTTTAATTTGCAGTTCAGTCGTTTTACTCTTGAGTCTACTGTTTATTCTTTTTTAAGAGTTTTTCTAAAAGGGGGAGCGAGGGGGGAGAGAGGAAACTTTATTTCCTGAGAAGATGAGTCCAGTGTCTTAGATGTGTTTCTCAGCCTTTAATGTACATATGAGCCATCTAAGTATATTTTAAACTGTAGCTTCATATTCAGTAGGTCTTGGGCCCAGCCCAGGATTATGTATTTCTGTCAAGCTCCTAAAGGTGATACTACTGGTTTAGAAACCATACTTTGAACTGCAAGGTTTTAAGAAGCTGCTAGAATAATCCTGTATGTTCTATTGCATTTCTCAGATGCTTTGAAAGGTTTAGCTCATGTGTGACTGAGACCTTTTGAGCCTTTATCATATCACAGCTGGGCACAGCGTATATGCCCGTAGTCTTGGCTACTCAAAAAGTTGAGGCAGAAAAAAATCTCTTGAGCCTACGAGTTTGAAAGCAGCTTCAGCAACATAGTAGGATTCCGTCTCAAAAACAAAAACTTGAAAGATACTAATGGAAATGTCTCCTTTTATATAAAACAAAAAAAATCCAATTTTAGTAATGTATATTCATTTTATAGCCACTCTTATAGCAACATAATATAACTGATAAATCTATATAAAATATTTTTACTTGGTTATATTAATAGTCTCAGCAAAGCAAAATATTATAGAAATGGCAAAGGTTTTACTATTTTCTAAAAAATGGAGAGCATGAGCTTTTCTAAAACATAATTTGAGGAAACTGGTATTTACATACATGGGAAAATTGTGGTCATGTGACATTTCTGTATTTAGAACCTTAGATCCTAGAAATAATTTTTTAGCCCAGTTTCTATCATTCTTTTAAGCAGATTTCATATTTACAATAATAGCAAAAGACCATTGAAAGTAGAATACAAGCAACCATTCAAATTGTTCTGTGTTCAGTTAACCATATTTGTTACCAGGGTTTTTTTGATAGCAAATGATTAGTTGGTCATTTTACTTACACCAGTCAACTGGAGTGAAAAAACAGCAATTTGTTGTAAGGTGACCACTGTGGTAAACACTTAGGGTTTGGGGAAGAAAATTTCATTCCTATGGTCTCCATTGCTACTTGTCTCTAAACAACTTCCCAGTCACCATGGCTCAGTCTAGCCCCTAGTACTAAATTTCCTTTTTACCTGATCCATCTTAATATGGACATTTAAGTCTTTGAATAAGCAAAGGGATTTAGTAAGACCCAAGAGTTTTTTGGGTTTTGGTTTTTTTGTTTGTTTGTTTTTTTAATGACAACAGATGTGCCTAGCATGGTGAATGTGAGTTATGAAGAGCCATGGCTGTTGAATTTGTATACGTCATCATTAGTGTGTTTGTAGTTTTTAAATAGCTCTTGTGTTGATGGCCCTGATTTTTTTAATAGTTCTTAATTTCAATTTAGTTTTAAGAAGTGTTATTAAGGAATGAACTATTTTTAAGTGTCTATATATATTTTTTAGACAAACATTATATCTGAACTAAGTAAATGGAGACTTAATTTCATCGACTGGCACCGAATGGAAATGAAAAAAGAGAAGGAGAAACACGCAGCACATGTAAAACAACTGTCCGTCCAAATCAGTGACTTGAAGGAGCTGCAAAAAGCCTTTGAGGTTTCCATCGGGAGAAAAGATGAGGTCTTTTTTTTTTTTAATCTCTTTTTTAATTGAGATGCAGTAAATGCATTTCTAGAAAATAAATTCCAAGAATTAATAATTGTTTAGTTTATACAAGATACAAAGAGACAATCGGTTCAGAAACTGATAGAAAAAATAAGTACAGAACCGTAGCATTTATTCTTCCTATTAAACATACCAGTGCAAAGTCATTTCATCTTTACTTCTGACATCAGGGTTTCTTGATGTTTGAAGAGTGTCTCCTAAATATAGGTTCACTAGTTTCTCTTCTTGTCTTTTTTTTTTCTTAACTGCCCTAGAGAAAACATTAAGGAACCTCATTCCCACATCTGAAGCTGCCCTTGTAGTGAACTTATTTTTTTAAGCATCTCAAACTCTATTGGTGATGTGTCTTCATTGGTGAAGATAAGCACAGAGAGCACCTGGTATTTCACTTTTTTTTTTTCCCGCAGTATTGGAGCTTGAACGCAGCGCCTTCACCTTGAGCCAGACCACCAGCCCTTTTTCGTGAAGGGTTTTTTCCAAGATAGTCTCACGAACTATTTGCCCGAACTGGCTTTGAAATGCGACCCTCCTAATCTCTGTCTCCTGAGTAGCTAGAATTGCAGGCGTGAGTCACAGGTGCTCAGCTTGTATTTCACTTTCTGTCAGTCTCTTAAGAACTCAAGGGCACAGTTCAGGCCTGGGCTAGATTTTCCCTTTTGACAATACTGTCAACCAAGTAGATGGGCAACTAATCTGTGCCCCCTGCTAACCCTCCATAAATTTATTTGTAGGGGGATGGTGGCTTTCAGAGCAGAGGGATTCTTGGCAGACACCTTGGCTGCTGGCCTACAGAAGTGTCACTCTGGTGTTTTAATGAACTAAACAAAGATAATATTTTTTACCTATATATTTCTTTTTTTTTATAGAATGTAATATAAAGTTGAATATCTTACTTTGCTTTTTGAAACAAAATAATGTCAGTTCTTTATTACCTTCAAAACTTTTCTAAGGTGTTTAATATTTTTAATTTTTTATTTTGAAATATCATACAAAGTTATACATATCATACATTCAGCTTAGAAAAATAAATAAAATGAACAGTGCTGCATCACCCTGTGGCTTAAGAACTAGAATATAACTGGTATCTTAGAACATGTGCCCTTTGCTCTTTTGAAAAGAAGAACATGTATGAGTATGGTGGCACATACCTGTAATTCCAGAACTCTAGAGGCAGAGGCAGGAGGATTGTGAGTTCAAGGTCACCCTGTGCTGCATAACAAGTTCCAGGCCAGTCTAGGATACATGATGAGACCTTGTCTCAAAAAAACAACAGAAATATCTTTTTCAAAGGGACCATTTTTAGATATGTGTTTCAGTTACTTAATTCTTTGTAAGAGAGAATATTACCTTAGGATTTAAGTGTCTTCACAAATTTCTTTAAGGAAAAGAATAATATCACTGAAGAAGACCATCAAAATATATTACTTGCTTTTATAAGTTTATTAAAACCCAGAAAATCATTAAATAGTTACTGAGAAACTTCTGTATCCAAGGTAGTAGTAGGGGATATAAAGATGGTTAAAGCCTGGTCCTGCTCACAAGTTGAATGAATGAAAACTTTTTTTATATGTAGCAGAACTTTCAAATGTACAATTGTCTTTCTGAATTAAATGGCAATAACTATATTCTCATATACATAAACTTTATTGGTGATTAACAAAATATATAAACAGTGTAAGATTTCTTTCCTGTCTTGTTCCCTTTTATTCATTGATATTTAGTATATTCATGTAGGAAACCTTTTTGATCTTTTTAATAATAATGAGGGTATGTTGGGTATGGTGGTACACACCTGTAATCCCAATACTCTGGAGGCTGAAGCAGGAAGATCTCAAGTTCACAGCCAGCCTGGGATACATAGTAAGACCCTAACTTGAAAAAAATTTAAATGAAATAAATAATGAGACTAACTGGATGAATACAGTAGAGATCCATAGCAATTCTCTAGCATTTTTTGATGTGAGGAAAGCCTTTACCAACTACTGTTATTGCAATATCATAATAATTGAGATAATTGCTGTTTGCAGGTGATTTCCAGCTTATCTCATGCTATAGGCAAGCAAAAGGAAAGGACGGAGCTGATGAGGACATTCTTCCACTGGCGAATTGGCCATGTCAGATCCAGACAGGACGTAAGTATGAAAAACACAAGGCTACTTACAAGAGCTTAACTCTTGTTAAAGTCAAATATTTGTTTTCTAGTAAGTCAAAATGAGTTTATAACTTAATGTTGCTTTTATTTAAAAGAAATTTGATTTTAATATTGTTTAGAAAAATGTCTCTCTGATTTTATAGGTATGATATATATTATTATAGATATGTCATTCACTGCTTCACAGTGGTTTAATAAGGATTGGTACTAACTTATCAAAGGCCTGGAACCTGTTTAACAGATTTGTTGGCTGGAATAGTTGAGGTGCCATTACTTTTTGGTTAGTTTTTCAAATTTAAGAATATTGAGAATTGGAACTCCTTCTTCAAAGAATACATTGATAAAGGAAAAATGATAAGTGTTCCCTTTATGGGTCAGTTTGGCCCTATATGTGATAGAGAGGTATGGAAGTTAAGTTAATCTTGTTTATAATGGTGACAACTAACCCAAAGTTAAAGCAGTGTCATCCCATACCACCCTTTTTGCCCTCTGGTCACTTTTCTGTTACTGTCCTTATCCTACTTTCAGCTGAAAAGTCATGCAAATTCTTAGCTAAAATGGCAAATTTCTTGTTTTCTTTCATTTGGCTTTTTGTTTTTCACCAAACTTGATTAGGTTGGTAAGCCCTGATGTCATGGGTAAGAGCTCCGGCCTGGCAGTTAGTAAGTCTGGATTTTTCCCTTTCTACTTGTGTAACTCAGGCAGGTTCTATGTGCAAGTCAAGAGTAAAAATGGTTTCACAGGATTAAATGATGACATATTTATGCTTACCACTGTGTTATGTTTACTATTATCACTACCAATACATTTGCTAGTCCACTGTGTTTTTGACATTGTGTGTTATCTTTAATTTAGGTTTATGAAGGTAAACTAGCCGACCAGTACTTCCAGAGAACTTTGCTAAAGAAGGTATGGAAGGGCTGGCGCTCAGTAGTACAGAGGCAGTGGAAAGAAGTGGTGGAGCGAGCTTGTCAAGCGCGAGCTGAAGAAGTTTGCATCCAGATTTCCAATGATTATGAAAACAAAATTGCTGTGGTAAACTTGTTTTTTAATTTTTACTTTCTTTTAGAACAATAAAAAAAATGAGTAGACTCACTGTTAGTTTGTAGTTAGGCTTCTTTTTTCTTTATGTAGCCAAGAATAAAAGTTAAAAACAAAATGTTTATCTTCATATCAAATAAACTATGTTCTTAAGTTTGATAAAGCATGTGTATATAAATTGAAGTTATTTTCCTTTAACTTTTAGTAATAAAATTAACATTGCTTCTATGGGAAAATATTTGGGCCCAAATTGAAATAGCCATTTTGAAGACTACAATAGGCCTCTTGAAATCAAATGTTAAGAAGAGAAAAAATTTGATCATTGCAGCACTAAATTCTTAATACTAAAAACTGTGGCCATTTTCACAGTATGTCTATTTTTGACAGTAATATTCTTTGGGTCACAAATATCTTTCTTTTTTTGTTGTTTATTTATTTATGGTAATTCTCTTACTTTAGTTATCTGGAGCTTTGGAAAATGCAAAAGCTGAAATTCAAAGAATGCAACAAGAAAAAGAGCACTTTGAAGATTCTATGAAGAAAGCTTTCATGAGAGGGGTGTGTGCATTAAATCTGGAAGCCATGACTATATTTCAGAACAGAAATGATACAGGTTAGTAATTCATGGAAGATTCTCTGCCTATTTTGAAGAAAGAATTTGAGGTGATTTTAGTGATTGGTAGGCTCTGCTTTATTAATATTCTACAGTGTTGTGTCTGATCTAAGTATTGTTTATTTTTAGTTTCATGGTGTCATATCGAGCTTTAAATCTACTGTGAGAATTAGCTCATTTATGATTACTTTTGGTATCTTAGATCTGACCAGTTAAATTGTCACTTCTTAAGTTGCATAAGTGATAAATCCTTATTAGAACTTCTTACATTCAATTACAAGAAACATGTTTCTCAATTTAAGAAGGCAATGAGTTTACTTAGGACAGAATATTTTAACATTTTAATAAATTTGCCATCTTAAAATTTAAATTCAAACACATATATGTCTCCTACAGGAAAGAAGCATGATTTGCTTTGCTCCTATACTTATGTCTTTGAGTCTAATGCAGGCTCTGGGAACCCAACCGTTTTAAGTGACTTTGTTCATTATTTGTCGTAAAGATGATAAGAATAGTAAAACACAAATTACAGTAGTTTCAGTGGAGCTATCAAAGGCAAAAGTTCAATGCAATCTAAAACTGGGTATGCTTTTACTCTTTTTATTGAAGAAGACAGAACATGATAGTAAAAATGGCCTTAAAGTGGTTCCTACCAATTTTACAAACAGTTTTACACACAACAGAAAAATGCTTTACATCTGAAAAATAATTATCCTAGTTAAAGCAAGAATAGTTATTAAATTTACCAATTATCTGGTTAAAAGAAACTTCACAAATCAGTCCACAATAGCAAGAGTTGGTCACCTGCCTCGCCAGATCTGACCTTGATACTGGCTTTGCATCTCATAATATCTGCCAGAGTGATACTTAGCTCAGCAGCACTTTGTATCATAGACATGTTCAGACTCAGTGGGCATGTGTTTTCAAATTAAAAGCAGCGGTATTTTATATTGAATTAGTCCCTTTCATCAGAGGATTTCAAAGGATCGAGACACTCTAATCACTGTTAAACTTTGTTATCAGGGTAACTATTACTCTGTTTCACACAGGTAGTTTAGAAAGGGACTGATGCAAAAGCCCAAATTTTTGGCTAAAAAGAGGACAGTGTAGAAAAGCATTTAACCATTGGACCTATGTAGTGTCCTCTATTCAGAATTCTGATACATCTTGTTGAATTTCCAAACCCTCACCACACCATTTGATAGCACAGAGATAATCTTAATTGGAAACTAAGCAAATTCTAAGGAGAAAAAAAAAATCTCAAATTGGACAAAATCATTTGTCCTGGCTTTTAGAAGCTGGCACCATTTACTCTGTAGATGAAGCATAAGATTCATTTGTGAGGGAAGATTACTGTGTACATCACATCCCTACAGTCAGTTAAATGGGCAGATGTTCTTTAGTAAAAGTTAGGTAGTCTATCTCCAATAACCCATTTCTTTTATGTCAAAGGTGAAAGTTTCAGTTTTACTTGTTGGTTTACTATTATTTGTTGAAAAGTCAAGAATAAAAATAAGTTGTTCTTTGTTAGAATAGGAACAGTAGATAGAAATGAGGGGGTATGGTGGCATCAGAAAACCGTTTATCAGCATAGTTGTATAAAATGCAAAGTATGTAAATCCTTAAACTTGTAATGAATGTGTAAATCATTCATTAGTTTTCACATGTTGAAAGAAGTGGTCTGAAGTCTTTAAAGGTTATGCTGTATTAACCAGTTAATACTGACAAACCATTAACTGAACAGTAGACCCAATAAGTAACAAATATCTACATTTTTGTTAGACCAAATTTTATTTAGCATTATATATTTTCATTGTTTGGTAGAGAATAACAATCTGAACTTGGGAGAATTTTCTTGGAATGAATTTGTGATTTATAGGGAACGACTTCACAAATACCAGAAAGGAAGAATGTGGCCCTGGTGTTCAAGGAAAAGAACATCCTGACCCTTTAGATGCTTCCGTGGCCCCAGTGCCCTCCAGTGTTCAGCTGCTTCCATCCTCCCCAGCAACGGCCAGCGCCACTGTGGTTCCCTCTGCTGCTTCCATGACTTCTGCGGGAGCTGCGCCTCCCTCTTCTGTTCACATTCCCATCTCTGTTCTTGGTGCAGGATCTGCAACTACTGCTGCCCCGGAGGAGATGGTTAGTACAGTTTCTGCAAGGGCTGTGTTATGAAAGAGTTCAAAACCTTGTTTGTAAATTGGATATTTTGTTATAACGGCCTCTGAGGAAGGTTTGGTTTTTGTTTTAATTTTTTGTTGTGCTGGGGGTGAAAACCAGGGCCTCTACCACTGAGCTACATCTCCAGCCCTATAGATTGAATATTTTGAACTCAGAACATTTTCTGCATGGTATTTAGGCCAACCCACAGAAAATATTCAAACCATAAAGTGGCTAAAATAATTTCTAATGAAAAATAACCCAAAAGTACTGTCACATTAGTGATAATTAAAAAGATCTTTTTCACTTTACATTTTTTTAAATACTATTCAAGAAAAATAGATTTGAGCCAGGTACTGGCAGCTCACACTTGTAACCCAGGAGGCAGAGATCAGGAGAACTGTGGTTCAAAGTCAGCCCCCGATAAAATAGTTCATGAGACTCTATCTTGAAAAAACCCATCACCAAAGAGGGCTGGCAATGTGGCTCAAGCGATTAGAGCCTCTGCTTAGCAAGCATCAGGGCCTTAGTTCAAACCCCCAGGGCTGCTGAAAAAGAAAAACAGATTTGAGAAAGAGTTTATTAGACTTTTTCTTAGTTTGAAGCAAACTAGTAGGTATTTTCAAGGGCTTTGGAGTTTAATACATGTTTAATTTTATATTTTTCTATTAAACTAACAGCTTTCCCTTTTCCTGGATACAGATATATTGCTAGCCCTCTGCAGTAATTCCATCTGGACTAGGTTTTAGGTTTTGATTCATAATTGGAATGAAGAAAGGAAGAGTTTTTCCTAGTCACCATGCTTCTATTGGAGAAGTGCCTAGAAGACAGTATTGAATGGGGATGGAGTATTTATATGAGAACTTAGCAGAAATCAAATTAATCCATCTTTTGACAAAGCACATCATGATTCGTAACTTATGCCTCCTGCTGTTAAACCTGTATTCTTCAGTGTTTCCAGTGGAGGGAAGGGAGTAGGGATAGACATAGCTATGCTTGTCAGACTCACCTCTTGTGGCATATTTAAAAAACAGTTGGCCTTTTTCCCTGCTCTGGTATGGCTCTGCCCAAAAGCGTGGAAAGTCTTACAAAGCTCTTAATTCTGTCTCCCTCTTCTCCCCAACTGCTAACCACTAACGTAATAAAAGAGAAGATAGCAGAAGAGGTGTTAGGTCTTGCAACTGTCCTGGCAGTCCATCACAAGGTACCATTGCTCTGGGCAGCTCTCCATAGTGAAGGAAGGCATTGAGTCAACCAGATAATTGGTTACTTGGTTACCTTTAGTCTTCTAACTTACTTGAATTTTTAACTTTTGAGAGCTACCATCTTTGGAGAAAAATATGTTGAGATCTGCTATGTATCATGTTCACTCTTTTATGTGTGTATATATATATTATATATATTATATATAATATATAATATATATATATATATATATATAATATATATCACAACATACATTGCTGGTAAGAGAAATTTGAATGTGTGGAAGAATTTTGACTTAGACACTAAAATTGAACCCTGACATATGTTTAGCTGTGTTTATTTTCCAATGATTATACATTTGAAGTATGTTCAGATGATCTCTTAATAAACATGGCAAGTTTATATTTAAGTTTTTGATTTGCGATTATGTTACATATGCAGCACACAGCTAGATATTTCAAAATTCCCTTCTTAAAGTATGACTACACCAACATGCCTGCGTTTATTTGTAAACCTGAATACACATGGAAAAAATGAGTGACCTTGTTTACCCACCTTTTTTGTTGCTAACTTTTTTAAACAATTTGACTACCTAAGATAATTTTGAAGTCTTTGAAACATGAAAAACACAGTATTGTGTAGACAGCCCTTCCCCATACATCCTCCCACAACACACACACACACACTGCATCCACCCCTTCAAACACCAGCTACATATATTCAGTCTCATTCATGGAAAGACAGTCTTTAGGGTCAGAGTGAATCATGAGTAAATCCTTCTGTAAGTATAGTGCTCCACTCCTTCCTTCCTTACATGATTAAAAATACTCAGATTCATTTCAGGTGTGTCTTCTTGTTTTTAAAAGAACCATAATAACAAAAGTAGGAAGAAAACAAATTACTTGGCTAATTTAATGTGAAACCAATCATTTTTGACATAGGAAAAGAAGAGATTAATGATCCAAGCCTAGATCTTCTCATTTTAATCAGCAAGGCTTCCTATGTGAGCATTCAAAACTTTTTCCAGTCTTTCTTGTTATTTCCAGTAGTAAAAAAGATTAAAATGCAGTATGCTTAGATAATTAGAAGACAACAAAAGCAAGGAGGATAAGTTTTCCAGTGAAGTAATATCTTCATCTGTAAAGTTGTTTTCTGTAGACATCCTCAATGTGTTTAAGGAAATGTCAGAATTTTCTGGTGGAAAACATTTTTCAAAGTATAAGCTGGACAATGTTGCAGTTCACTAGGTTGAACAATAGATGGCACTGTACTCTTTGTAACTCCAATTGGAACCGTGGAGGGAAAATAGTCTTAGATGGATTTTAAAGCTATGTAGTAATGCTTATCTTCTAACCTTCCTCTTCATCAGAATGAGAAGTGTTTAGGTAGTTCTACACAGTTGGTACTGCTTTACCCACTTTACAAATGGAGTATTTGAGGCTTAGAGGGAGAAACTCTCCTGTGGACACAATTAGTAACTGTTGGAATTCAGACTTTGACAGTATGGCTTCTGAGGGCTGTACTCCTGCCTGGTAATCTGTTTTGTCTCCTTGCCAAATGTTATGATGCAAATGTTGGGCTTTTAAAATAGCGTTTCTTTTTTTTTATCATCTTTCATTTTTGTTGTTGTATATGTTGATATGACTTAAAATGCTAGAATTTTCATTTTTACAGCATTGTTTAAAGTCATCTAAGCTGATAAATTTAATGATGGGGACTCGTAAGTGGTCATTTACGCAGTCAGCTAATGCAGAGAAAGCTTTTCTTTTTTAAATGATCCATGCATGCCTTACCCATCATTTTATCCTATAACATAAATGTATTCATTTGCCAGGTTTCAGTATGCAGCCAAACTGGGTGTGATTACTGATTGTAATGTCATTTTTTTAATATAAGCCACACTCTGTATTTTCTGTTTTCCAAAGTCAGTTTCTCTAAAGAACATCATGAACTAACAAAACTTTCAAAGCTATCTAATTATAAAATCCTTCTAGGTTTCTTTTCCCTCCACTTAATTTAGCAGCAATTTTCTCTAATAGCTTATCTTTATATATTCTTTCAAAAATGTCTGTATGTTTAACAAAACTCATTTTCATCAGGTTAATATAATTTTATATTGCATAAGTATTATTAGCAAGTGACAAGTCATATGAAAATAAGCAATTCTTAGTAAACATGAAAGTCATTTAAGACAACTTCTGTTTAGCTCATATGAGTATACCGAGATTTCTTTAAAATGTCTTTAATGGAATATATATTTTCAACTTGCTGAAGGCCTTCTAAAGCAATTCTCAGCTGGGTTAAGTACAGCTTACACCTATGGGTGTTTTTCTCACTACTCTAGTGGTTCTCAGTCTGGTCCGAGAATAGCTGCTACCAAAGGGAGAGTTTATATCCCTCAAGTGTGTCTTAGCAGCAATAAGTTTATAAGTTCAGTTGTACCTCAGTTTTCAATTTTTGGCAAATCTTTTTTCCAGTGCTGAGGATCAAACCCAGGGCCTTGCACATCCTAGGCAAGTGTCCTGCCACTGAGCTCTGTCCCCAGCCTCAAAGGATTTTCTTATCAACCACTGATTTTTTTTATTATAAAATACTGTTTAAGAATCTTCATTAGGAACCAGGGGTGTAGCTCAGTAGTAGAATGCATGCTTAGCATGCATAAGGCTGTGGGTTTAATCCCTAGTATCAAAAAAAAAAAACACTTTATTACTCTATAAAATCTTTCTTGTACCTTATTTTTGTAACTAAAAAAATAGGATTAAAATGCTTCTGTAAGGTCAGAAGCATGAATTTAATCCAAAATATATTTATAAATATCTAAAATCTGATATTCCGTATTTTAAATTCATAAGTTCCATAAAATTTCATAGCTTCAAAAGCCAAGTAACTTCCATGAGAATTATAGTGAGAAATAGTTTTGTAAATCCTCTCCCTAAACTCTGTCACTTGTTTCTTCTACTTACCAGTTTTTCCTAAGTAGCATGTTCATACCATTATTGCTACATTTATTAATTTCAAACATTATTGTTGACATCCTCTGCAAATGAAGGATTTGCCTTCTGACATCACCTTATTCCTTCTCTTCCCACCCCTATCCTCCCTATATATAAATATTTAGATCCTGATATTTTGGTGTTAGATTTTTGTGATGACTTTGTAAACATAGCTAAGCCATGAATGTATACCATGAGTACATTTCCTTTTTAGTACAATTTTTTGTTCCTAGAATTAGCTGCTTCATTTTTGTCTTTGCTTAGTTTTCTGTGCAGCAACTGTACTGAATTCTTTCCAAACTCTTCAAAGAATTGCAAGATCCCATTGAATGCTCTTTTCCTTAAGGTCCTCCCAAAACATCAGTGTTCTGTCGTTTCAGTTTTCCCAGAGCCAGCTCTGCTGGAGCTCACTCTCTCCTTTCAACAGACAGCTGCGTCCATCTGTAGCAGGATGCAAATATGTACAGATCCTAAGATGGGCTATAACAGCAGGGAAAAGATGAATATTTAATAAATGCTTTCAGAAAAACTATTGAAAGGGAAAGTGAATTTAGGAAAAATGAAATTTCAGATATATCAATAAGTTAAGCCAAAATAAGTTCACTTTGGAAGAGTATAATTGCCTTAGCTATCCAAGTGTGTTTTGGTTCAGCTATGGAAGTAGGAAAATATCAATGACAAGGACTAGGGCTGGGGTTCAAGCGGTAGAGCACCTACCAAGAAGAAGGCCCTGAGTTCAAACCCCAAAACCACCAGAAAAATGAAAAAATTGATGACAAGATTAACTATAATTTTAAATTTTTTCAAAATTTAAAAACTAAAAAACTAAAGTAAAATAGACAAACTGTTTACATTATTAAATCAGTATCTATCAGTAGTTATTAAAAATATTTTGTTTTGCAGAGCTGGGGGGTCAAACCCACCTCTTCACTCATACTCAACAATCACTCACCACTAAGCAATACACCCAGCTCAGCTGGTTCTTTTGTTTTTGCTTTTTTGTGGGCATTTTTCTTTTGAGTTTTTTAGAGTTTTTTTGGTCTGTTTTTTTTTTTTTCTTCTTCTTCTTTTAAGACAGGGTCTCGTCATGTAGACCAGACTAGCCTTGAGCTCACAATCCTCCTGCCTCAGCTTCCTGAGTGCTGGAATTATAGGCATGCATAACCATGCCTGGATTTGTAGCTATTAAAACAAACTTTGATGGCAAATACCCTTTCAATTACTGGCAAATAGTCAAAGGTCATGGATAGCAGGGAAATTAGAATATAGGTATAAAGCGTTAACAAAATCCACAATTAAATCAAGTAGTAGGTTTTACCTCAGACTTAAATGAGCAGCTATATAATTGACAGTAAAAAATAAGTATACTTGTATGTTACTTCTGATGTAAATATCTTTCTTGAGTATCATCTAGTAGTAAACAATAAATGCTGACAGTAGTTTGGAATATGATCATTATTTTTGAAAGATATTCTATAAAAATAACTCAAATCATTGTTTTATAAGTATACTATATATTATAGAAAAAGAACTGAGAAAGCAAACTGTAGTCTGTCAATATAAAAGCATCTCATTAAAATTATATCAGGTTTCTATATTCATGAAAAATAGTATCTTAATAAAGTGAGGGGAAAGGCATGTATGTAATGGTAGTATCTGTGTTTAAGGACCATAGAGTTCATAAAACAGATAGTGTTGGTTAAGGGTGACAGGTGGTTGAGGAAGGAAGGAGAGCTGGGCAAGACTAAGTGATGGCGTGAGGGACATCCTTGTGGAGATGAAATAGTCTGTGTTTTGATTTGCACTGATAGTTACGAGAACCTATGCATGTGACACAGTGACATAGATCTATTCACAGGCATTGTATCGGTGCCAGCTTCCTGGTTTCAATGTTATTACACATCAAAGATGTAATCCTTTCAGGAAACTGAGTGAAGAATACCAGGACTTCTCAATACAGTCTTCGCAACTTCCTGTGAATCCATCATCACTTCAAAATAAGCTTTCATAAAGTCTACAATATTATGAAATAATTGGCATACCATATTATACAGGTGTTTTGGAGTATTTGATTTTTTTTTTTGTTCTGCTTTATGTTTCATTACATTTTATTTTTAAGTGTTGTGTATTTTCTTTGAAAGTTTTATCACCAAAAGTAATACAGATTTTTGCCATGGATTTTCTACCAACAGAATAGTTTCTTATTTATTTGTTTGTTTGTTTGTTTTTTTAGTATGTACCAAGAGTTGTAACTTCAGCACAACAGAAAGCTGGAAGAACAATTACAGCCCGGATCACAGGGAGATGTGATTTTACTTCAAAAAATAGAATTAATAGCAGTTTAGCTATAATGGGAGTTTCTCCTCCCATGAGCTCAGTTGTTGTGGAAAAGCATCATCCAGTCACAGTGGTGAGTCCATATTTGAGATATTGTTAGAAAATCTTCCTGAGAGTCTTAGACTAATAAACTCTTCAGTGATCTTTTGGAAAGATCAAAATTCTTAACCATCAGCATTTGTTTTGCTTTCTACTATCACAGTCTAGATTTGCTATACTTACCATATCTACCTTTCTTCTGCTAAGAAATTGATTTCAGAAACATTGCTTCTTCCAAACAGCATAAAAATTATCAAATAGAAAAAGTAATCCAGTGTGTTGGTAGCCAAATGGTAAAATGTATAATGATTTATTAGGACAAAAACTCTTTACTCATGAACTATCTTCTCATGTACCAGATATTTGAAAACTTCCCTACCTTTTTTATAGTTTTAACTTTTGTTCCTTTTTTTGTCCCTTTCCTTAATACAATTATCAGCATACTTCTAATAATCAAATAAGTCAGGTTGCAATAAATTTATGTGATATAAAAAAAAAGGTGCATAGAATTTGAAACAGAAATAAGCAAAAATACCCACGTTAGTACTGCAGCTTTGCTACTTACTGCCTTTGGGCATGTAAAATATTTGCCTTCATTTCCTCTTCTGTAAAGGAATTGATACTTAGCTCCTCGTGTTATTGTCAAGATATGGTATTGAATAAGATAATGTAAAGTCAAGTGAGATATACAAAGCCATTTGTAAACTTTAAAACTGTAGGCAAATTTAAACTATTTAAAGTTACTAGGAAAGGAACATGAGAAATTTCTGTTTTCTTGTAACAGTATGTGAAATCAACAATTATCTCAAAGTATAATTTATAAAATGAGTGATAAGAACACATCTCTGAAGAAAAGGAAGGATTGATTTTCAAAAGAGAATAGCCTCTGGACTGTGGGTATAGCTCTCAGTGATACAGTGCTTGCCTCACATGTGAAAAGCCCTGGGTTTGATTCCCTGCACTGAAAAGAAAAAAAAAAAAAAAAAACTAATTCAAAAAAAGAGAAAGAAAGAGACTATCCTCTTATAATTCTTCAACATTCGACAATGTTCCTGTTTATTTAGTATGTCAAAGTAGTAACAAAAGAGGTATATACAATGATTTTTTTTTCCAAGTTCTTTCAGTCCTGAATACTAGATAGTTACTGTATGATTAAACCAAAGAGCCTAGATTAAATTGAACCTCAGGTGAAGCATGACCTAAGGTAAGTGGAAGACCAGAGCTATGAGAACCAAGTCCAGAGACATGGAGACAGTGGAAGACTTATTTTAGGATTAGTTGGATTTTACAACTTGAACAGACCCTGAGAGTTCATGGATGATTTTTCTATAAGCTTTTGATTATGTGAGATTAGCTATCAAAAATGAGAAGAAATGAACTCATTTCTATTTTCATCAACACACAGAATGTGAATGGATGGGACAAGAGATTGTCTAGTTGTGAAAGAGGCATAAAGAGAGCACATGTTTGTTTTTAATTGAAATAACTTTTGCTTTTATAAATGATAGCTCATTTTACAGAAAAAATCAAGGAACAAAAAACTACAACCCCTCTTTCTGATAGTTATCTCCCAAACCCCTGTGCTTATTCAGTATGGGCAGTGCTTCTCCAGTAGTTGGCTATGAATTAGATAGCCATAAACTCCCTCCACTACTACTTAACTTGTATTGTGTGACAGATACAATTGTAGTCCTCTTTCAGTTTATACCAGGAATCAAGATCTAGAACTATCAGAAACAGTATTACTCATAACCCAAGGATCAGATTCATGATGCGTTAGCCCACCTGCTGGATTTTGACCAAAGATATGTAACTTTGCTTGAAATGTTGAAAGACAAATTTTCTAAGTGGGAGACCCTATTAGAAATCTGTGTGTACATGACTGAGAACTTAACTTGACAGGGACAGAGGTAACTTGATAACAGATCCCACCGCTAGCTACCAAGAAGCTGTGTCTGGTGTAACTTAAGAAAGTCTGATACTTAGTACTCATATCTGTGTGTGATATAGACTTGTGTGCATGATACGTACTTACACATTTCACATGCATGGACTCAGAGCTTCAGTGTTCACGTGTAAGATGTTCCCCTAAGCTCTGAGGTGGTGAGTATATACTCCTCAGCATGTGTCCTCAACATCAAGTGATTTCCTTGTTTAGAAATTTGTAGTTTAACCAGGCATGGTGGTTCACACCTGTAATCTAGCACTCAGGAGGCTGACCATCTTTTTAAAAATAAATAAATAAAATTTAATTTAAAAGGAAACAGAGGAGAGGAGGAAAGTTATAATCTACATATATTAAGGGAGCATTCGGCTTCTTCGAAGTTCTACTCTTGTGTTACCATAAAAGGTTTAGTCTCCTCCCAGGTGAACTGGGTGAAATCTGAGGCCCTTGCTTTAGCTGGTTTGAAGTAAGGATCAGACTGAATCCTCAGGGCTTCACCATGTCCCCCCAGGATTGGACTCCACGTATTAACAGTCAGAAAGAGGAAGAAGCTGGATGGAATGAGGGGATGGATGGCTTGGGGCCAACCCTTTTCCATGCACCACAAAGTTGCCTTTTGTACTTGGCCTCTGTAAGCCTTTTCCATTTAGTTGTCTTGGAGGCATGACTCCCATGCTCTCACAGTACAGCTCTAGTATTAAATGTGGGTGTTCAACACAGGCCAGCTGCATGTGGGTTCATTTTGGAGAAGGGCTTCATTGTGTTTGAATAGTTGCTTCGCCCAACTCATTGCTGGTACATACTGGATGCTTAACAAACTTTAGTCAGGTTTAATTATGAGTGATGAGATGATACTTAATACATATATAATCTTATAAGATTATTACAGCAACTTCCTGTCTTTTCAGCAAACCATTCCTCAGGCAGCTGCTGCAAAATATCCACGGACCATCCATCCTGAAAGTAGTACCTCAGTTTCCAGATCTCTCGGAACCAGATCAGCCCACACCCAGTCTCTCACAAGCGTTCAGTCTGTGAAAGTGGTTGACTAAAGTGAATATGTTTACACAGAGGTCTTTTAATTCCTCTGGTAAAGACTGTATCAAAGGTTGGAACCCTTTAGTTTTTTAACTTTTCCATACTGTTAGAACATCATGGATTCATCATGTTTGTCTTTTAAAAATTACAAGAGTCCTTCTCAACTTATACCATCCTTTGTACTTATATATAGAAATTATTTTAATGTTATTTTTAATTTAAGTAATTAAGTAAAACTTTTAAATTAAAAAAGAAACTTCATTTTCACTATGTTCAGCTTGTCATTGGTAAGTCATTGAGTATATAAAGCCTGTTTTCTCTAAATTGTTTCTAAAATAAATTATTTCCAATGTTACTGAGCCATAATTTGCACAAAACTGAGGGGAGCTTCACTAAAAACATTACTAAAACTAGGAGAAACTAACATTTGTATGCCAGGCACAGTGGTTTACACCTGTAATCCCACCACTCCAGGAAGCCCGGGTAGGATCATGAGTTTGAGGTCTCAAAAAGGGAAAGGAGGACGAAGGAAATAAGATATTTTTTATTTTTAAATGAATAAGATAAAGACCAAAAGTGATAATGATGTTTTTAATTACAAAGCTTTTTATGACTTTTGTGTATTAGTCTTCATTTCTCTAGAACTTTTTTTTTCTCTCCAATGGGTAGCTTTGATTTTTTTTTTCATTTTTTTAATTTTTATTCACATGTGCATACATTGTTTGGGTAATATCTCCCCCACCCCCTCCCCCACCCTCTCCCTCCTTCCCAGCTCAGTTCTATGCAGGTCCTGTTCTGCCTTTATCACTAGTTTTCTTGAAGAAAATAGATAAGCCTAATAAGGAAGACAAAGCGTTTTTGCTAGTTGAGTTGAGGATAGCTATACAGAAATATTCCTAGCATTGCTTTCATGTACACCTGTTATGACCCATGTTGATTCATCTCTAACTGATCTTTACCCTGGTTACTAATCCCCTTCTCATGATAACTTCTGTTGCTCTAAGGTTTCTATATTAGCTCCTCTGGAGTGGGGACATCAAACGCTTTCATGTTTTGGGTTTTCTAGCTATTTCTGTATCACCCAAATGTGCTCTCCCCTTATCATGTGATCCAAGTCCAACCACTGCTGCATTTGCCCTGGATCTAAAGTCTGCATATGAGGGAGAACATACGATTTTTGGTCTTCTGAGCTTGGCTGACCTCACTCAGAATGATGTTCTCTAGTTCCATCCATTTACCTGCAAATGATAAGATTTCATTCTTCTTCATGCCTGAGTAAAATTCCATTGTGTACAAGTACCACATTTTCTTCCATTCATCAATAGTGGGGCATCTTGGTTGTTTCAGTAACTTGGCTATTGTGAATAGCGCTGTAATAAACATGGGTGTGCAGATGCCTCTAGAGTAATCTGTATTGTATTTCTTTGGGTATAGCCCCAGGAGTGGGATTGCTGAATCATATGGCAGGTCTATGTTTAGATTTTTAAGGAGTCTCCAAATTTTTTTCCAGAGTGATCATACCAGCTTGCATTCCCAACAGCAGTGGATTAGGGTTCCTTTTTCCCCACATTGTTGCCAACACATGCTGTTTGTGGTGTTTTTGATGATGGCTTTTCTAACAGGGGTGAGGTGGAATCTTAGTGTGGTTTTGATTTGCATTTTCTTTATGGCTAGAGATGGTGAGCATTTTTTCATGTGTTTTTTGACCATTTGAATTTCTTCTTTTGAGAAAGTTCTATTAAATTCAGTTGCCCATTTCTTAATTGGTTCATTGATTTTAGGAGAGTTTAGTTTCTTAAGTTCCCTGTATATTCTGGTTATCAGTCCCTTGTCTATTGTACAGCTGGCAAATATTTTCTCCCACTCTGTGGGTGGTCTCTTCAGTTTAGAGACCATTTTTTTTGTTGTGCAGAAGCTTTTTAATTTTATGAAGTCCCATTTGTCCATCCTTTCTCTTAGTTGCTGGGCTGCTGGGGTTCTATTGAGGAAGTCTTTGCCTATACCTATTAGTTCCAGAGTGTTTCCTGCTCCTTCCTTTAGTAACTTCAGAGTTTCAGGTCTGATATGTAGGTCCTTGATCCATTTTGAGTTGATACTAGTACAGGGTGATAGACATGGATCTAGTTTCAGTTTCTTGCAGGTGGATAACCACTTTTCCCAGCAATATTTGTTGAAGAGACTGTCTTTTCTCCATCATATATTTTTGGCACCTTTGTCAAAAATGAGGTGGGTATAGTTGTGTGGATTCATATCTGGATCTTCTATTCTGTTCCACTGGTCTTCATGTCTGTTTTTATGCCAGTACCATGCTGTTTTTATTGCTATTGCTATGTATATAGTTTGAAGTCGGGTATTGTGATACCTCCAGCATTGCTTTTTTTGCTGAGTATTGCCTTGGCTATTCGCAGTCTCTTGTGTTTCCAAATGAACTTTAGAGTAGATTTTTCTATCTCTGTGATGAAAGTCATTGGGATTTTGATGGGAATTGCATTAAACATGTAGATTGCTTTCAGTAGTATAGCCATTTTTACTATGTTGATTCTACTGATCCATGAGCACGGGAGATCTTTCCATCTTCTGTAATCTTCCTCGATCTCTTTCTTCAGGAGTTTGTAATTCTCCTCGTAGAGTTCATTCACATTTTTTGTTAAATTTACTCCTAGGTATTTGATTTTTTGGGGGGCTATTGTGAATGGAATTGTTTCCATATATTCCTTCTCAGTTTGTTCGTTGTTGGTGTATAGAAAAGCTAATGATTTTTGTAGGTTGATTTTGTATCCTGCCACCTTACTGTATCTGTTTATGGTGTCTAAGAGTTTTTGGGTGGAGTTTTTTGGGTCTTTAAGGTATAGGATCATATCATGTGCAAATAAGGATATTTTGACAGTTTCTTTACCTATTTGTATTCCTTTTATTTCATCTTCTTGCCTAATTTCTCTGGCTAGGAATTCCAGTACTATGTTGAATAGGAGTGGGGATAGTGGGCACCCTTGTCTTGTTCCTGATTTTAGGGGCAATGGTTTCAGTTTTTCACCATTAAGTATGATGTTGGCTGTAGGTTTGTCATACATAGCCTTTACAATGTTGAGGTACATTCCTTCTATTCCTAGTTTTCTTAGCGCTTTTATCATGAAATGGTGTTGGATCTTGTCAAAGGCTTTTTCTGCATCTATTGAGATGATCAAGCAGTTTTTGTCTTTGCTTCTATTGATGTGCTGTATTACATTCATAGATTTGTGTATGTTGAACCATCCCTGCATCCTTGGGATGAAGCCGACTTGGTCATGGTGTATGATGTTTCTGATGTGTTGTTGGATTCGGTTTGTCATTATCTTATTAAGGATTTTTGCATCGATATTCATTAAGGAAATTGGCCTATAATTGTCCTTTTTGGAGGTGTCTTTGTCTGGTTTTGGGATAAGAGTAATATTGGCTTCATAGAATGAGTTAGGCAGTTTTCCTTCCCTTTCTATTTCATGGAACAGTTTAAGGAGGGTTGGTATCAGTTCTTCTTTAAAGGTCTGATAGAATTCAGCAGAGAATCCATCAGGTCCTGGACTTTTCTTTTTGAGGAGACTCTTGATTGCTGCTTCAATTTCATTTTGTGTTATAGATCTATTCAGGTGATTAATATCTTCTTGGTTCAGTTTTGGGTGGTTGTAAGTTTCTAGAAATCTGTCCATTTCTTCATGATTTTCAAATTTATTAGAGTTTAGGTTCTCAAAGTAGTCTCTGATGATTTCCTGGATTTCCGTGGTGTTTGTTATCTCCCCTTTTGCATTTCTGATTTTACTGATTTGGGTTTTTTCTCTCCACATTTTAGTCAGGTTTGCCAGGGGTCTGTTAATCTTACTTATTTTGTCAAAGAACCAGCTTTTTGTTTCATTGATTCTTTGTATGGTTTTTTTTTTTTTTTTTTTTGGTTTCTAGTTCATTCATTTCAGCCCTTATTTTAATTATTTCTTTCCTTCTGCTTGTTTGGGATTTGCTTGTTCTTGTTTTTCTAGGAGTTTGAGCTGTAGTATTAGGTCATTGATTTGAGATTTTTTTTGTCCTTTTAGTGTATGCACTCATGGCTATAAACTTTCCTCTTAGGACTGCCTTTGCTGTGTCCCATAGGTTCTGGTAGGTCATGTTTTCATTTTCATTAACTTCCAGGAACCTTTTAATTTCCTCTTTTATTTCATCAATGACCCATTCATCATTGAGCAATATGTTGTTCAGCTTCCAATTCTTTACATGTTTTTTTACTGCTGTTTTTGTTGTTGATTTCTAGTTTTAATGTGTTAAAATCCATGGGATTATTTCTATTTTCTTATGTTTGCTGAGGCTTGCTTTGTGCCCTAAGATATGATCAATTTTTGAGAAGGTTCCATGGGCTGCTGAGAAGAATGTGTATTGTGCAGAAGTTGGATGAAATATTCTGTAGACATCAGCTAGGTCCATTTGATCTGTGGTGTGGTTTAATTCTAGAATTTCTTTATTGACTTTTTGTTTGGATGACCTATCTATTGGTGATAGGGGAGTATTAAGGTCTCCCACTACCACTGTGTTGGAGTTTATATATGTTTTTAGGTCCTTCAGAGTTTGATGAAATTGGGTGCATTGACGTTAGGTGCATATAGGTTGATAATTGTTATTTCCTTTTGGTGTATTTCCCCTTTTATTAGTATGGAGTGTCCTTCTTTATCTCGTTTGCTCAATGTAGGTTTGAAATCTACTTTGTCCGAGATAAGTGTGGCTACTCCTGCCTGTTTTTGGGGACCATTGGCTTGGTGAATCTTCTTACAGCCTTTCACTTTCAGCCAGTGCTTATTTCTGTCAATGAGGTGGGTCTCCTGTAGGCAGCAGATTGTTGGATCTTCCTTTTTAATCCAGTTTGCCAGTCAGTGTCTTTTAATGGAGGAATTTAGTCCATTAACATTCAGTGTTATTATTGATAAGTACGTGGTGATCTCTGTCGTGTAATTGTCTTTGTTGATTAAGAGTTTGATTATGTGTAGCTGAAACAATGTTACTCTTTACCTTCTTGCCTTTTCTTCTCCTGTGGTTTGGTATTGCCTGCCCTTTCATGGTTTTGTTTGCTTTTATTATCTGTGTGCAGAATTCCTTGGAGAATCTTTTATAGTGGTGGCTTGGTGGTCATATATTGTTTTAATTTCTGCTTATCATGGAAGACTTTTATTGTTTCATCTATTTTTGAATGATAAAGGTTTGCTGGGTAAAATATCCTAGGATTGAAGTTATTTTCATTCAGTGCTTGGAAGATCTCACCCCATGCTCTTCTTGCTTTTAATGTTTCTGTTGGGAAGTCTGCTATGATTTTGATGGGTTTACCTTTGTATGTTACTTGTTTTTTCTCTCTTACAGCCTTCAATATTCTTTCTCTAGTCTCTGCATTTGTTGTTTTAATGATGATATGTTGTGAGGTAGTTCTATTTTGGTCAGGTCTGTTTGGTGTTCTGGCAGCTTCCTGTACCTGAATGGGCATACTTTTCTCTAGATTTGGGAAATATATTACGCATTCCTTTTGCTTGCCCCTCTTCTCCTTCAATGCCCATGATTCTCAGGTTTGGTCTTTTGATGGAGTCAGTGAGTTCCTGCATTTTCTTTTCATAGGTCTTAAGTTGTTTAATTAATAGTTCTTCAGTTTTTCCTTTAATTGCCATTTCATCTTCAAGTTCTGAGATTCTGTCTTCTGTTTGTTCTATTCTGCTGGAATGGCCTTCCATTTTGTTTTGTATTTCTGTTTCATTCTTTTTTCTGAGGTTTTCCATATCTTGGGTTACTTCCTCTTTAATATTGTCAATTTTTGACCTTAATTCATTTATCTCTCTGCTTATGGTGATCTTTGTTTCAGTTTGGTGTTTGTTTAGGGCTTCTATAATTTCATTTATTTGTTTCTGTTTTCTGATATTCTTGAGTTTTGTTGTCTTGGAATTTCTTGAATGCCTCCTGTACGTTTTGGTTGACCATGTCTAGTAGCATCTCTATGAAAGTCTCATTAATTACTTGTAGAATTTCTTCTTTCAGGGTGTTCTTGTGTTCTTCATTGGGTTCCTTGGTATAGTTTATCTTTGTTTTGTTGGAGTCTGGATCTGGGTATCCATTTTCTTCATTTAGCTCTAAATCCTGTACTACTTTATTTTGGGGGGAAGAATGGTTTCCATCCCTTTTTCTTCTTCCCATATTTCCACTAGGTACCGTTTCTGTCCCTGGACTATGTGTAATTTGGTATTTGCTGGGTTACAATATTAATAATAACAAAATCGTTAGAAAAGGATAATAAAGAGAAAGAGAAGGGAAGATAAAAGGAAGAGAGAAGAGAGAAAAAAAGGAAAGAAAGGAAAAAGAAATGGGAGAAATGGTGGGTGATCAAAGAGCAAACCAGGCTGGCAAGCCCTTAAAGAAGGGAGAAAAAAAAAAATCACCAGTTCTGGAACAGTAGGATTGCAGGCTTAGTTGTTTCTACTTTAGTGTCCAGTCCAGTCTGTGAGTATCTCTTAGGCACGCTTGGAGCCCTCTAGTAGCAGCCCAGCCAGAGCCTGGTCCAGTGGTTATCTGGGCTGGCTCAGCACAGGGAGCGGGGTTCCTGGCAGGCTGGTGGGTGCGGCTGTCCCAGCGGGGTGGGGCTCCAGTTGTTCCACTGGAGCTGGAGCCAGGCCAGGCCTGATGGGCAGGGTGGGTTCTGGTCGTCCCACACGTGGCTGGGGCTCAGCAGGGCCTGAAGAGCAGTGGGCTGGGTGGGGTGGGGGGGAAGGGGTTGGGGGCAGGTATCCTTGGAAGCTGTGGGAGCAGCTCCAGGCTGGGGTCCCGGTGGTTGTGGTCTGGGTGGCATGGCCAAGGAGCGGGTATTCTGGCGTGGTGTGGCCGGCCCGGCTGAGGGACGGGTATCCTGCCATGTGTGGGTCTGGAACAGAGCTGTGGCCTGGCACAGCCCAAGGGGCAGAGAGCCCGGCAGAATGGAGCAGCGCCTTTGTAGACCTACAGGGCGGGGATTTGGCTGTTCTCACATTAGATCGTGGTGTGGTGAAGCCTTCCACGATCTCAGTCTTCAGACTGCCTCCAGCTTCTCTGCAGGATTTCTGGGTCAGCTCACAGGTCTGCGGCTCTGTCTCCGTCACCATCTTGGATCCCTTCAGTCCTAGAACTCTTAACAATTAAAAAGAGAAGTAGCAACACGTATGAACTATTCATTCTTAATGTTAAAAAAAGGAAAAGGTTTCCATACATACCAAAATAGCTATGGAAGCATCAGGAGGAGGAAATTTCCTGGTAGAATGGTCCTGTTTCTGATTTCAGCCTCACACTTGCTATGAGGCAGAAAATAAATGTGATACAGGCCAATGTAATTCCATTTTCTAACAGAGTATGCTGTGGCTCTTCTGAGTTACAAAGTATCAGATACTTAACACTGGTTCTAGGTTCTGACCCAGCTACCATTGTGGCAAACAGCCCCACTCAGCATGGGCTTCAACAAACATTGTGAGCAGGAAGCAGCAGCACCACATCTCACACACTTCCTGTGGGCATGCCCTCCCCAGACAACTATGAGAGCCCACAGGTTCCACTTAGAGCCTACTCATGTGACCCAGAATGAACAGCCCACTGTGACAAACAGCTCAGTTCTTCCCCGTATGAATTGTCCTAATATGCATTAGTCAATCTTATCTCTCAGAACAGAGTACCCTTGAGATCAGATAGATGGTTCAGTTTGATACCAAGGTAGACAATTTGGTGACACCCCCATCTTGGCTTTCCTCCTTCCATGAATTATCCCCCTTTTCCTATGCTTCTGCTTACCTGAATCCTGAATTTGCACTCCTTATGTAAACCTTGGTCTTGGGAGCCTAGACTGGTTTCCAGTAGCAAAGCCCAGCTATATGAACATACTAAGGCAAGTAAGAATGCTGTAATCAAGAATCCTGTAAACATAGTTTTAGCTTTAAGCTCCAGAAGTGTTAATATTGTCTAAAGCACTGAGTAATCAGTATTGGCCTAAGTTAACAAATTCAACATTGAAAACACTTTATAGAGTATATATTTTTTTTATTTTCACACAAAGAGTTACTCAAATTGGGGAGAAGGTAGTAGCAAGGTCAGTGGAAACTAGGAAACAGATGGAGGAAGCAAGACTGCCTAATACCTTATCTTGTGGATATGTCCCCTATTTTAAACATCCATTAAGTGGGCCGTTTATAATCAGTATGATACAAAAACATAAAACTAAATTCATGATAGAATAAATGGACTGAAATAGCTCATGAGTATACTACCAGCCTTGTAGATTTAGAGTCAGAATTTGAGAATGGAGAGCTTTAAACTATGAGTAGGTAGACATAAACAGAAAGATTAATACTTAATGTCACATTCATTTCATAACTTTCTTATTTTTTCTAAAAATAATGAGTGTTCATTGTGGAAAAAATTAGAATGTACCAAAAATTACAAAGAAAATTAAAGTCACCTATAATATCACCAAGAGATTAAAAAACATTGGTGTAAATACTTCTGGTCTTTTCTAAGTAATACATTACACTTAGCTGTGATTCAAAGCCACCACTCACTAAATTTCCAAACATACTGAAGAGATGGGAAAGTTCATGACTTCTGTACCATGCGTATGAGGGCAGGCATTCACGGGTGTTCTCCCTTCACTCCAGCCTCTGCAAGAGATATGTCCCGGATTTTCTACAGTAATATTAACATGCCCCCAGGCTCACAGCTACTAAGTGGAAAAACCAATTTCAAACACTCTCTCTCATCTTATTCTTGGTTTTCCCATATGCCACCAGGCTGTTTTCACCATCAGTTTTGGATCTAAATGCATACTGGATTATGCTGTGCCATGAGTGCATCAAATGAAAAATGGAGAAGTTATGTATAACTTGTCTTAAGCTAAAACCAAAAGGAGTGTGTGACTTCAGGGCTTGGAAACCAAAAGGAGTGTGTGACTCCAGCTCTTTTTCATCTGCTACATGATGGAGCCTGTCACCACCATCTTCAGAGTTGAGGGGAAAATCAGTACTGCTGGAGAAAATTAACAGCAATAAGGAACTGAATTTCAAAGAACTGAATGCTGAGTAAAAAATCATTTACAGTTTCTTAAGGCATCTAAGAAACCACACATTTCTTGGAGCTTGAGTCAGTTTTGCTTTTGAATTGATGAATCTTTTCTGGAAAAGAACAGAATAACAATTAAGGTGAATAGCTAATATTTTTAAGCCCTTACTATTATTGTCAGGCAATATCACTCAGTTAATCCTACAACAGCCTTTTGAAGCAAAGAGTTTCTTTTTTTTTATTATTTCTTTTATTCATATGTGCATACAATGTTTTGGTCATTCCCCCCCTTCTCCCCACCCCCTCCCTTTTCCCCCCACCCCCTCGCTACCAGGCAGAAACTATTTTGCCCTTATCTCTAATTTTGTTGAAGAGAGTATAAGCAATAATAGGAAGGACCAAGGGTTTTTGCTAGTTGAGATAAGGATAGCTATACAGGGAGTTGACTCACATTAATTTCCTGTGCATGTGTGTTACATTCTAAATTAATTCTTCTCAAACTAACCTTTTCTCTAGTTCCTGGTCCCCTTCTCCTACTGGCCTCTGTCACTTTAAAGTTTGAAGCAGAGAGTTTATTCCTTCCCTAGTTCATGGGTGGGAGCCCTGGCATAGTGAGGTAACAAAACCTGCTGAAGCTCCAGAGCAGGGTCTGGGGGCGCCAGTTGTGTTTTAGAGCACAAATTCCACCATTGCCATGGTCTGCCTTGAGCTCTTATGTGAAATCTCCCTTAGGAAAGAATACATTTAAAGCTAAGGGAACCCCAGTGTAGTGAGGCTAACTTCCTGGAACATAGATGTCATCCAGGCACTATTTCTTATACCTACCACTACCTGAAATAATACTGGACCAGTGCTTGGATTCACTCATTTATGCACTCCACTCCAGGTGACACTGCTCCACTGAAATAATGGCAGGTGCAATAATTTACTTCAATGGCTGTCATTACATGAATTACAACACTTACCTTGTTTATAGAAGACTGCTCAGAGAAACTTCCCAGGCAATAATGATCACTGATTTGGAAAGAGCGCTTCCCCACCTCCACTCCCAGGACAGGGGATTGAACTAAGGGCCTTGCACTTGCTATGCAAGCACTCTACCACTTGAGTCATATACCCAGTCCCAGAGTGATTTTTTTTTAATAATAATCTCAGCTGGCAATTTAATAGTTATTTTCTCTCCACCTAGAGACAACACTGTCAAATACATTAACTTGCAGAGTTTCCCAACAGGGGCTCAAAATGTCAGGTATGGAGAACAATCCTATAAACAACCATAGAAGATGGTTTAGCATTTGTGTCTACCCCATCTACCCACACCCCCTCATAAACAAAGACAGTGCCACACTTTTTCAAATGCCCATAGGTAGGGGTGGTGATACCGAGAACCACAGGGCTAAAAACATGATCAGTGTGGACTGGGTCACTTGCCAGGAGAAGCTGCTGCTCACATACCAGCTCCTTCCTCAGCCAATGTTCTCCATAGGCCACAGCCAACACCAGCTGGGACTGCTGCTGCCCAGGTGGCTAGTTTGTCAACTGGCCCCTACTATTGCAGGAAGGAGAAGGAGTTTCCGTCCATGGAACTGTGAGACTCACCAGCCAGCTCTGGAAAGCCTGCGCGCACCAGCTCTTTGTACAGGTGCTTGGCTGGGTCAGGCTGCGTCATCAGGGCACCGTGCAGCCAGATGAGCAGAGCCCTGTGGCCATGTTCACGGAAGCTTTTGTTTCCTGTGCCAAGGACAAGAGGTATGGGATGAAAAACCACAAGCTGCTGCTTCTTCCTAATGTGATCTCAATTCTAAGTTTTCTGTATCACCATGGCCGCACATCCGTTCCTCCCGACAGCTGTCATATGGAAAGGCCAGAGCTGCAGGGCAGCCTTTCCAGTCCGCTCACCATTCTGTCTTCTGATAACCAGCACCTGGATTCCACTGGCCCTTCCTGCACCTAATGTGCTGGCACGCACCCTCGGGAGCGGTTCTGGGACTAAAGAGCTGCAGCATCTGCCTGGTGTGACAGATGCTCTCCATGTTGCTGTCAGGCAGCATCAGGCGGTGCTGCCAGAGACCAGCACATCTCGGGGTCGAAGCGCATATGTCACTTGGGCATCTTGTCAAAATGCAGATCTAGGTCAGTGGGTCTGCTGTGGGATTTCCCAGAGCTGCTGCAGCTGGTGATCCATAAGTCACACTGGGCAGCAAGCATGCGCTGTCCTACGAGCCCCATGTCCAGGACAACCCTGTCAGGTAGTCGGGATATTCACTCTAACATTCACTGCAGACCTAACCTTGAGAGGGGCTGGGACGTGTCAGGGTACAGGCAGCTCACAGTTACAAACACATAGCACAAAGAGACTCCCTTACAGAAGCAGACAGATGCCACAAAATAGCCTGGCTCTGGGGATGGGGCGTAATGTGGCTGTTAGACTCAAGATGTGTTCCTCACCTGGTGGAGATAAACGTCCTCCAGGCATGCCACAATGGTTTTTGTTTTGTGCTGCTGGGGATGGAGGCCAGGGCCTCACTCATACCACTCAGGCACTCTACCGCTGAGCTACACCCCAGTCCTACTCCATAAAGATTTGACTAAAATACTTTTAGACCCCCTTATCCTGCTTGGAAGTACTCTGAAGGTAAGTTTGCACATCATTTAGATCAAGACAGATTTCCAAAAGGCAGCTCAACTTTCCTAAAGACTTCACAGAACACTATATGCCTAATCAGCTTCAAAGGAGCAAGCTTAACCAAGTGACACAGAAGAGATCTTATCCAAAACTAGTTCACATGAAAATGTATCCTTATTAAACTCCCATAGTTTGTGCATATGTGGTTTAATAAGCATGTGCTCACAGGGCTATAGTTCTGCCATCTAACTCACAGGATGCATCATTGCAAATCCATCCCTGGGCATCTTCCTATATCAGGATGTCCCAGGAAGAAAGTGCTCATAATAGAAAGCTTGGCCAAAGCCAGGCACCTATGGCTCATGCCTGTAACCCTAGCAACTCAGGAGGCAGAGATCAGGAGAATCACAGTTCAAAGTCAGCCCGGGGAAATAGTTTACAAGATCCTATCTCGAAAAAAATCAGTCACCAAAAAGGGCTGGTGGAGTGGCTCAAGGTGTAGACCCTAAGTTCAAAACCCCAGTACCACAAAAAAAAAGAAAAAGAAAGAAAGAAAGCCTTGCCAGGGCCAAGCATGGTATTACACCTGTAATACCAGCACTGCGAGGCTAAGGCAGAAGGATTGTGAGTTGAAAAAAGAAAGGAAGGGAGGTAAGGAGGAAGGGAGGGAAGCTTTGCCAAGACAATGCTTGCTTCATTTTTAAAGCTGATTAGTTGATTAAGGCTAAGCAAAATTGCTGTATTTCTTAGGTCTTGGTCAAATCATAAAAATAGGAAAGCTAAGGAATTCAGCTGACATGACAGTGAGTCTGGCTGAAGAGATCCCACTAAGTGTAACCTAGCCAAGTGAACCCTCTGAGTCTGTACCCAACCTGCCCCGTGTCTCTCATGCAACAGCCAAATTCTCCCCAAGGCCATGTCCTCCTCCCCCTGGCTAGAGAGATTCTTCCTGGAATGAAAGCCCTCCTAAGCAATGAGCTGTTGGTGGGAATGCAAATTAGTGCAGCCACCATGGAAATCAATATGGAGGTTCTGCAAAAAAACTAAAACTAGGGGCTGGTGCAATGGCGCAAGTGGTAGTACTCCTGCAAGCATGAGGCCCTGAGTTCAAACCCCAGTAACCCTCCAAAAAATTGGGAAAAAAAACCAGAAAAACCACATGATCTTGCTATATCACTCCTGGGTATATACCAGGAATCGAAGTCAGCATAAACAGATATCTGCACACTCATGTTTATCACAACACTATTCACAATAGCCAAGCTGTGGACTCAGTATAGGTACCCATCACATGTTGAATGGATAAAGCAAATGTGGTGCTTATACTCTATCAGGTATTATTTTATCATTCAACCATACAGAAAAATGAAATTGTACTTTGCAGGAAAACTGATGGAACTGGAAATTATCAGGTTAAGCAAAATAAGTCAGATTGAGAAAGACAAGTATTTCATGGTCTCCCTCATATGCAGAATCTAGACCTAAAAAAATGAATGACACAGGTGTAAAACAGAGACTGTTTGGAGGTAGGAACCAGCAGGAGAGGAGAGGACAAAAGGAGAGGGGGAAAGGGGAGTGAGTATGATCACAGGTACTTTATTTGCACGTATGGCAATAGAATAATAAGACCATTTAAAGTTGTTTAAAAAGTTGGAGGTATGGCTCAACTGCCTGGCAAGCACAAGACCCTGAGTTCAACCCCAATACTGCCAAAAAAAAAGTGTAAGAAGAGGTGGGGATAAGAAAGAGTACCAGAAGGCTGGCAAAGTGGCTTAAGTGGTAGAGCGCCTGCCTCGCATGAGGCCCTGAGTTCAAACCCCAGTACCTCCACCAAAAAAACAGAGTAATAGAGGGGATGAATTTGGTCAAAATACACTATACACATATAAGTAAATATCACAATTAAACCACTTTGTACAATTAATATTCACTAATAAAAATGATAATAATAAAGTGAGCCTTTTGACTACAGGATAAGCCTGTTCGCCTCAGACAATCAAGGGACACCAGGAAAGAAATCAGGCTAGCTTCCTAGTGGCACACGGACTTAGAGCCCTGTCTTTCCTTGGTGCCTGTTCATTCCTTCCTTTTTCAGCTGACACCTACCTTTTCACTGTGTGTCAATAAAAGCAGTCATCCTTTACAACCAAAGTTTACTACAGAGTGCCATGAATGTTCACTTTCTGCAGAATTCCCAGCTGCTTCTGCAGGCCAAAACTACCTGTCCTTCTCAGGGGCCCTTGGACCTTGCTTCTTGTTGTGGGCACCAGGCCCTAGCTGGGGTTATAGGAGAACTGCTGCTCCCAACACTGAGGGCCTCCTGCCCATAGATTCTGGTCCGCACCCACCTGACCACTGCTGCTCGATGGCTCTGATCTGGTCATCTGTGAAGTCCCATGAGCGGGCCAGCCTCTGCCACTCATTGACTTTCAGCTGATGGTAAGCCAAGTTCCAGAGGAGCATTCGGATATGCCTGGTCCCCAGACTGTGGTCTTGCTTGAATGTCAGCGTACCTGCTGAGGGGTCCTGGGTGCTCTTCCCATGCTCCTAAACCGAAAAATAACTGTACCAAATTATTTCAGGCATGTTTGCTTATTTCAGAGTATTTGTGCTTCTCAGTTATAATTGCTAAGGTGTTTTCAGTATCACCTGTGATGGGAGCTAGGTAGAGGGCTGAGAACCATGGCTTGGATGTTGATGAGGACTCACATCCTAGACTGCTGACATTAACAGAATGGGTTGTGACATACATCAGCATCTTGCTGACCTGCAGCCCCCCAGAATCCACAGAAAATAACAGCCCCAGTGTGACCATCCAAGGCCAATCCCCCTCCCCACCCCACTTTTGGGAGGAATTGTTGATACATAGCCCAGTCTGTGATAGTTAACGACACATAACCCAGTTTTCCAGGACCAACCACTCCCATCTCTGCAGACCCCATTAAAAGCCTAAGGTCTCAGGACCTCCAGTGCAGTGCTCCTTCTTGAGCCTGTCCACCCTCCCACCAGAAGGTGCACTTTTGCTTTGCTGTCTCTTTGTTGTGCATTGATAAATCTGCCCCAACCCTTACATAGGCACAGCAGCTACAGTCCCTCGTGTTCAGCTTCCCACTGCACTTATAATTAGCAGTTATTAGTGTTAGCTTCTTGCTTCTCCTACTTGCTTGTCTTGGTAAATTCTTTCACCAATCCACAGCACCAAAATCCCTAACAATCTGTCATGGATCACTTTTTGTCACCCAAGATGGAAGCAAATATTTGAAATAAAAAAAGTTTGAGTACAGGCTGAGTGTGGTGGTACACATCTATAATCCTCTCTACTCTGGAAGCAGGAGGATCTTGAGTTTGAGGTCAGCTTAGGCAAAGTTAGATTGACCCTATCTCAAAATCAAAAGTACAAAAAAGAAGGGGGTGGGATGTTAGAGCACTTGCCTAGAATGTGAGAGGCCCTGAGTTCAATCCCCAGTAACACACACACACACACACACACACACACACACACACACAAGCTTGAGTACTGTGAGATGGAAAATGTGAGAGATTTTGCAATGTTTTGCCCCATTCTTCTGCCTGATATTTGCCTACCACAAAAGAGAACAGAGGACTGTCATGGCAAAGGAATGTCATGACAATAAACATATTTTAATGGTCTTATTTTCAGCTTCTATCCCCTTTTTTCTTTGGAGTATATGATTTTCATGTACCAAAGCTTTAGTTTGACCAGGTATGGTAGTGCACACTTGTAACCCTAACTATTCAGGAGGTAGAGGTTGGGAGGATTGTGGTTCAAGGTAAGCCTGGGCAAAAAGTTAGCAAGGCTTCACTCATCTCAACCAACACACCAAGCATTGTGGTTCCGTCTAAGGAGGCATATGAAGGAGAATCGAGGTCTTGAAGCCAGCCCTGGCCAAACCGGGAGATGCCATCTGAAAAATAACTGAAGCAAAGAAGTGCTGGTGATATGGCTCATGTGACAGTGCATTTGCTGCACTGCATTAATTAGACGCCATGGCTGGGCCCTCCTGTTCCTTCTGTTTTCTGGTGTGAGTAAGGGAAAGGATCAAGGAAGGGGTAGGGAAAAATGCGGCCAAGGGAGGTGAGAGAACAGAAGTGGACAGATTTTTGTTTTAAAACACTGCAGCCGCCATCAGTTTAACAGCACTTTGCTAAGGCTGGTGTCCCATTTTCTGGCTTTTCAAAGCTTCCTTTGTATCTTCTGCAGAATCAAACCAAGAAAAAATCTCAGAGGAAAAGCTGATGTCCTGGGCTCCTATGGCTGCATGTTATACATACACCATTAGGGCTTCAGATAATCCCTGCCGGAGGATGCAAACCTGTTAAGCACATGCAAAACGCAGGGTCTGCCAAAAGGACTAGGACTTCCTGTCTATTCTCCTCTCCTTTTTCTTGTGACTTCTACATTTGTCTTTCATTATTTAAAAATGAATCTTACTGAAGGATATTGTGTACAGAAGCTGGGAGTTAATGCTGGGGCAGGAAACAGAAAAGTAGGTCAAGGTTCCCTGGTTTGCACAACTGGGCTCCTCAGTCCACATGGAGCAGCCCACACCCCTTAGGGCATCAGCGACCTTCCCCTAGGAAGCTCAGCAAACCCCTGGGAAGCCTAGCCAGAAGCTGGCATAGGAGTGGGAGGATTGCATCACTCATAATTGTTTAAGAGTCTGCAGAATGCGAGGTCTTCCCCAACCCAGCCCCAGTGTGATTTTCACAGTGCTTGGTATCCAGGAACCCTAAGAGGTATGGGGAGGGTGGGGGGGGCTGTGGACACAAGCTTTGTCTCCTTATTCCAACAGTGAAGAGCCCAACAAGATCAAAACTCCATACACCACAAAGCAAAGAGAAGAGGGCAAGATGAGTCTCTATCTGTCTTTGCACTGTAGCACTTTGGCTTCCTAGAGAAACTTGCAGGCCTTATGCATTCCAGGACTGGGTGGGGTGAACCTTCAGGCTTCCATAGGAAAGGAAGAGGATTTGGAAAGCTCAGGTCTTTTCCAACAGAAGCATTAAATAGCTGATCTGCCAAAGCATGGAACTAGCTGCAGGAATAATATGAGCCAAAATTGGGAGAGATTAAATTTGTATAAGCCAGATTTTACGAAGCTGTCTTTGCCTCGGACCCACTGATGTATGATTGGGTAGATATACTTTTTAAATAGATATTTAATTTAGATAAAAAGATATGTGCAGGTAGATAATGTATCCTATAGCTACAAAAATAGATAATGGATATTAAGAGAAGAAATTTAAATTATCTTTTTAATCTTTTTATTAGGAGTCATTTTATATTAGGTCAGGATATAAACTTGTTTGATAAACAAAAAAAATTGTAATATTAACAATATTAAGTGTATTTGGTAAAAACAGTAAAGCTATATATTTAAAAACAAGTTTTCCTGCTTTCACAGACCTCAGGATTCCAGCTGTCACCAGGGTTAATAACTCTTAGCATTTCTGGGGCCTCCTTCAGCTATAGTGATGTATTATATATGGTTTTCAAAGTTTATCTAACTCTTCCATCTTAATGATTTGTTAGGAGAAAGGGTTTATTCACTTCGTGGAAAAGTAATTTATTCTCATCTAGCCAAAAGAATCTATAAAGGCTGCCAGGTATTAAAAACAGAACCAATGAAGATTTCTAGTTTCAAAGAAAATGTGGAAACAGTTTACAGAGCAAGAGAAAAAGTGGAACTTGGTAGAGTAATCTTTAATAAAATACAGTAATGATTTAAGAAAACATGCATAAGGAAAGAAAACAGGAAGAGAGCCAGGCACTGTGGTTTGCGCCTGCAATCCTCGCTACCTGGGAGGCTGAGATCTGGAGGATGGTGGTTCAAGTACCAAAACACTTGTAAGACTTGATGTAGTGGTGCATGCCCGGCATCCCAAGCTACAAGGGAGGCTGCGATTGCAAGGATTGTGCTTCTAGGCCAGGCCAAGCAAAAAAAGTTCGCAAGACCTCATTTCAACAGAAAAACAAAACAAAAACAAAAAACCAGTATGGTAGTGTGTGCCTGTCATCTCAGCCACAGTGGGAAGGATAAAATAGGACGATCACAGCACAGGCCAGCCTTGACAGCAAGGGAGAACCTGTTTCCAAAATAACTAGAGTGAAAAGAGCTGGAGGCTTGGCTCAAGCAGTAGAACAAAATAAATAAATAAATAAAAAGGGAAAACAAGAAGCAAGGGACATAAGAGGGGCAGAGATTAAACGGAGAATTCTACTTAAAGAAATTGTTTTTTTGTTGTTGTTCTACAGGCAAGAATAGTTGCAAGGAAGATGGCCTTTAAAAGAGTTCATACACTGTCTCGGGCCACATGGTGTTTTTATCAACAGGGACCACATATCTACGACAGTCACTATCCCACGTAGCCTAGGTGTGTAGTGGTTATGAAATCAACGCTTGTGTAAGTACACTCTGTGATGTTCACACCAGGATCACAAAGCCTAATGACGCGTTTCTCAGAAGTGTCCTTGCCATCAAGCAATGCGTGACTATAAATACCCAACTACTCAGCCACTGGGACAGCACTGGGAGAAGCAGACCGTGAACATTTTTGCTTTAAGGACTCCAAGGCCTTCCCCAGGATTGAGCAATGGACAGCAATCCAGGTCTGCAGTTCCTTGCAGAAGACCCCCTGGGCAATGAGGACCTGCGTTCTGGCCAGACACATCAGCCCAAGGGGTAGCCATGCACGTCGGTTGGAAACCACACATCACTAGCAATGAGGATGGTGTGTTGTAAGGATGCCCTGCTGGAGGGCACAGACTTGACTCTTGGAGGGAAGGGCAGTCTATTAAATCTATTAAGCAGGAGCGGCAGATATCAGAGGAATATAATGAAAGAAAGGCAAAAAATGATCTAGAGGCAAGATTTTTTGTGCTCTCAGGTGAAGAAGTTTCACAAGTGTCACAGATCACTGAAAGCCAGCATAGGAGAGCGGTGAAAACTGCACAGCTCTAAGGAGCTGCTTTGCTATTCATTACAGCTTTCAGGAACAGACGATGGCCAGAGACCACAGGGCAGAGGGCACAGCCAAGAGTCAGCCACAGGGGTGGCATGCTAGGCCCAGTGGAGCCGACGTGGATGGGGCTGCTCAGCCCACCTGAACCCCACATTCCCAGCTCTGACTGCAAATGAAAAGGAGAGATGAGAGGGGCTGCCTACTCCTTGAAGCCAGACAGACAGGGCAGAGGGACAGGTATCACTTCTGACCAGGACTCAGCCCACAAGGGCAGAGAAAAGAATTGTGCAGAGACCACACTGCCCACTAAGGAGACTGGGTGGGCGGAGAACCCCTGACTGGGCTTCCTTACCTCTCTCCAGGCGTAGTACCTCTCGGCTTTAATAAGCATGTCCACCACAAGACTGTGACTGCTCCTGGAGGCCACTGCCAGGGCCGTCCTCCCTTGCTAAGAGTGAGGAAAAAGATAAAGAAAAAAGAAAGGGTCAGGCGTTATCACCTGGGAGTTAGGGGCTCTAGCTTTGGAACAAGGAGTCTGGTTCAGGTCCTCATCCTTGTTGGTGAACTTGGCTAACCTTAGCTTCTTTGAGTCTCCATAATTACACCCAAGTGCAGAAGTGAGGGGTCAATGTGATAATGCAGATGGAGCCCTTGGGACATGTGCCACCCTGACATCTTCTAGTCTCCCTTGTAGTGAGTATGTGACCTCCATTATAGCCAATGGTGTATGCATGGAAGGACACATGCAACGAATGGAAAGTATCTTTTAAAAGAGAAGAAATGACATTATTCTTCCACTCCTCTTCTTCCTGAGTGGAATGCTGACATGATGGCAGGAGCTTGAACAGCCACCATAGACCAGGAAATAGAAGCCGCATTTTGAGGAGATAGAAAAGAGCTGGATCATATTAAGAACAGTATCAACAATGACCACCACAATTAATTTATAGTATGGAATTCAGCTCACTAAACTCTGATCTAGAATTTGTTTTCTATAATAACACACTGCCTCTAACCAAGGATGAAGTATTCTAATCTTAACCAAATGGGCTGTCCCAGACATAGTTAGGTGCACGTGCTGCCTGGAGCCCATATCACGTCTTGGGCAAATCACACAAAGGAGCCTCTTTCTCAGGATGGATAGAGCTCAAAGCTGGGGCTCATGCTTTGCACACAGCATCCCCTAGATCTTATACAGTGCACAACTTCTACATTCATACATCTTTCTCTGACAAAAGACAGTAGTTCCTATTGGCTGAAGAATTTGCTTAGGAACCCTGAAGAGAATTAAAAATTAATGGTTAGAAATAACTCCAGGAGCCAGGCACCTGTGGTCCACACCTTTAATTCTAGCTACTTGGAAGGCTGAGAGAGGGAAGATTATAGTTTTAAGCCAGCCCCAGCAAATAATTCAAGAGACATCTGTCTCCAAAATAACCAGAGCAAAATAGATTGGAGGTGTGGCTCAAAATGTAGAGTATCTGCTTTGTAAGTGAGAAGACCTAGGTTCAAATACCAGGCCCACCAAAAAAGAAAGAAAAAAAACAAACAAGAAATAACTCCGGGAGAAAGGAGAAATTCAGATCTCAGGAACCTGTGTTTCTAACCCTATAGATCCAACTTATCTTACCAAGCCTCTTACCCAGCTGGAGACTGGTAACAAATACAATTCCTCCAACACAAATGGTTCGAAGATTCACCCAGGTGTTGAGCCCCAGATGAGCTGGAAAATTAGGCCTGAAAGTAATCAGCCTTTAATCAAGAGAGACAGTAATGAAATTAGGAAGAACTGCATTTTGCAGGCAGTTAGCAAACCTCTAATAGCATGCTGTCGAAAATCTGGCTTGAGAAGCCACTTGAATCACCATAATTAGCCTATTTTGGGAAGGCAGTGTTCTGAAAGCCAGGGTTTTCAAGCTCATTAGAAAATCTTCCTAGGAAATGCATGGTGGAGTCAAGGGCAAGGGCTTCTTCCCTTGGAGAAGAGGGCAGTGGGCAGATAGAGACCACCCAGGAGCTTTGTGATGGTCAGGCCTGAAAGACATCTACCAGACCCTCTGGACATCTACCATCCACTCTTTACTACAGGCTTAGACACACTTCGCTGCAAACTGTGGAGCAGGCAGAAATCACAGTCTGTACTTGTTAGTTAAATACTATTGGTACTAACTATGAGCCAGACCCTGGAAAGAAAAAGGACTGGGAGAGGAGGAACCAGGGAACTTGCCTGGGCTTTGGTTTGAAGACAAGCCAAGTAGTAGCTCTGACTGGAACATCTGGTCCCCTAGCCTGCAGGAATCCCTGCCCTGTGCTATCCATGCCCTCCCCACAAAATTGCCTCAGAGGCACTAAGGTTAAGAGTAAATGAGAACATAGAGTGAGGTACCTTAAAAGAATGTGTGTGGGGGGGGGAGGAAATACCAACACTAAGTGGTAACAAAGGTAAAGCACCACTGGGGAGACTGGTGGAATTCCACCCAGGGATGGGACCAGGGGCAGTTGGGTTTTCTTTCATTTGATGCTTTTCTGTGTTTATCAAATGTTTATAGTGACCTATATTGCTTTTATAATTAAATAAAAATGCTGACACAAAGAAAAGTCAAATAACACTTTGACTTCGGATTGTACAAGTGTAAAATGAACTAGAACTCTGAACTAGAATAGGGTGAGTAAGAGATGCAGAGCTAAGAAACTGGGAGGGAAAAGCAGGAAGGAAGACTGGGGTGTTGTTCAGTGGGAGGGCAAGAAGATCCCAGCACCAAAAAAAATTTTAAAGCTAAGGTGGTTAATTTTATGTTATGATGTGAATTTTACCACACTTGAAATTTAATCAACTTTTAAAAAGTTTAGACATCTATAGTTATTCACTGTCATTCTGGCAAAAACTTAGGAACAACAGAAATACATATCATTTGAAGACTGAACAAATTATCTGTAAACATAATGAAGAAATTCTCCATGTGCTAATGTGTAAGACCTCCACTACAAGAGTTAACATGTAAGGCTTGTGCCTATAATGCTAGCTACTTGGGAGGCAGAGATTGGGAGGATCACAGTATGAGGCCAGCCTGGATAAAAAGTTTGAGAGACCCTATCTCAACACATAAGCTGACATGGTGGTGCACACCTGTCATCCCAGCTACATGGGAGACGTAAGCAGGAGGATTGTGGTCCAGGCCAGTTCAGGCAAAACTGTGACACCTTATCCAAAAGTAGCTAAAGTAAAACAGGGCTCAGATGTGGCTCAAGTGGCAGAGCACCTACCTGGAAAGTGTGAGACCCTGAATCCAAACCCCAGTACCACCAATGTCTTAACACTTTAATGTCAAGAGAAAAAAACTAAGGCCAGTGTCTATAGTTATATCACCATCACCTTAAAAAGATAGAAGAATCAGAGCTGGGGGTGTGATTCAAGCAATAGAGTGCCTGCCTAGCAAGTACAAAGCCCTGAGTTCAACTCCAGTACTGCCAAAAAAAAAAAAAAGAAGAAGAAGAAAGTTATATTAAAAAAAGAAACAACTTATGTTTAGAAACACACATAGAAACTGCAAGGAACAGAAAAAAATTATTAAAGCACATACATGTGGTAAGGTCGTATGGAAACCACATAAGTAAGGACAAGAATAAATGGGAAGTTTTTACTATAAAATCTCTTTCAGCTATTTAGATATATCATATATGGACTGTGTAAATCTATAATAGTTTTTTAAGTTCAATGAATAATTTGAATCCTCAAAACACATTTCTGTTATTTAGAGTAGTTCTTACTGACAGCGCTCAATGGAGGCCGAAGCGTTTTCCTGACTAGGGACATACAAGGTTGCTCTAGTTTGTGCCAATTTCCCACAGGGAATGCTGGATGCTGCCGGTCCCACAGCCAACGAGGAGGTCTTAGCTACCATCTCAGCAAGCAGTGAAGCTGCTGCCATCACCTTGTCCACAATCTTCAAGTCACATCCCGCCTGCAGCAGGGTCTCCACCATTTCCACATTGCCAAGGTCAGCAGCCACATGCAGAGGAGTTTGCTGCCTCTGCCAAGAGAGATTTCACAAATGTAACCGAAGCATGAGGAGGGAGGAAATCTTACGTAAGGCAAGGAAAATAGGGGAATTGATAAGACCATATAGTTTTACATGGGCTCAGGGGACAATCATTGCAGTATTATTTGTAATAGTGAAAACTTGACAGGAAGTTGCAAGGAGACATTAGAGGAATCATAGTGCATTAATCTACTGAAATAGTAGGCAACTATTAAAAACAATTTCAGAGCCAAGGTGTGTTGTGTACATGTAGTCCCAGCTACGTGGGAAGCTGAGTCTAGAGGGTCACTGGCACCCCTGAGTTCAAAGCCACCGTGGCCAACATAGCAAGACCCTGTCTCAAAAAACAAAATTTTTTAGGCCAGGCTCAGGGGCTCAAACCTGTAATCCTAGCTTCTTGGGAGAAGTGCAGTTTAAGTCTACCCTGGGCAAAAAGATCCCAAGCCCCCTATCTCAACCAGTGGCTGGGCATGGTGACATACACCTGTTATCCCAGCTATGGAGGAAGCACAAATAGGCCAGTCTAGGCGGAAAGCAAGACCCTATCTAAAAAATAACCAATACAAAAAAAAAAAAAAGTCTGGGGGGGTGTGGGGAGGCACATAGCTCAAGGGGTAAAGCATCTGCCTAACAAGCACAAAGCCTAAGTTCAACCCCAAATACTACCAAAATAAGTTTTTTCAATATGAACTACCTAGAGTACTCAAATTCCTAGAGATAGGAAGTAGCATGGTGGTTGCCAGGGGCTGGGGAGAAAGGAATGGAGAGAAACTGTTTAGTGGATTGGAGTCTCAGTTCAAGGAGATGAAAGCAGTTTTGAAGGCAGAAGGTGATGATGGTTGCACAACAATGAAATGTTACAGATGCCACAGAATTTAAAGCACTTAAATTGGGAACTTTTGTGTTATATTTATTTTGCCACAACAAAAATGATTCCCAACATTTTTATAAATAAAAAAATATTCATGATGTCATGTTAAAAACCTTATGTCACAACAACACTATATCTAGCTAAGCTTAATTTAATTTAGAAGTACACCTGGAGAAAGAGAAGGAAATCCATCAATCATGTTTAAAATGCTAATGTCCCAATGACTTCTTGATGCTTTCCTCTGTTTTCTAAATTTTCTACAGTGTAATATATTAAGGAAAGCACAACTTGTAACTTTTTTTCTGGACTGAGGTTGAACTCAGGGCTTCCTGCCTACCATTTGAACCACTGTCCTGGGTTCTAACGTCTTACTGTAGTAACCATTTTCCTATCAAGAGGATAAGAGTTTTCAAAAGAAAATATGTCAAATCATTAGAAAGCCATTCCTCCTAACCTCCCACTGAAAAGAATGCTGATGTAAAGACATTTTTCAACTATTAGGACAGAAAGAGACCTTGGATATAATCTAGCCCAACCCCTCAACCAGAAAGGGGAAACAACTTCCCCAGGGTCACACGGCTGGGCAACAGCATGAAGCCCAGTTCTCTTCCTACCAGAACACAAAGCCAATTTGCTTCAAGTATTGGTGGACTACCAAAAAGCATGCCACCAGTAGATGGCAGTGTGCTCCTCTGGGGGATCTTTGTCCAAGACACCACACTTAACACTGACAGGTCTGTCTACACCAACCCAAAACACAGACACAAATAAAGCCTCCTTTTGAAAAGGAGTTCAAACATGGTAAACGAGGATCTCCTCCCAAGAGCAAAGGTCAACCTTGCTCAGTCTTGGTTTTCGATATATTTTTATAAAATGATGTGTTTGTAGAGATTTGAGGCCCCTACTGCTGGCTTCTCACCTAGAGAGCCAATGTTCCCTTTTTAAACTTCACATTAGTGTGTCAAATCCAGATGGTCCTCAATGATGACCTTTGGGTGGTTGGTCTTGCGCCCTCTACAGGGCAGGCCAATTTTAACCTACAGTGGGCGCATGAAGCATGCATTTGCATGCAGCTCCTCACGGTTTATCTTCATTTCTAATGCAGTATAACATAATTTCATAGAATCTCCTTTGACATTACCACTAAAACTCTAGAAGACAGGAAACACCACAACGCTAACAAGAGTTCCCTTTTTGTGGTGGGGACCATGAAAGCATTTAAGTTGGTAGCGTATTCGTATGTTCTTATTTTATAAAAGAATCTTATATATAAAATATGAATTTTCTTATTTTATGCAAGTTTGAAATGATAATCTCTGATTCTGCAACTGGACAGCAAGCTTAACAAATACTCCTTTCCTAGAGTGGATCTGGACAGTACTGTGGAAACCAAAATCACACGTGAACACAAGGCTCACAAGACTCAGTCTGTACATTTAGTGAAGAATTTGCCCACTGGAAAGATTTAAGGCATTAACAAAGTTGAATGCCTAAGTGCATTTAATAGCAAGAGCCTTTCTCCCAAACTTTTGGGATCATGAAAGGCAAGAGGGGGAAAGAGACAGAGTAGAGATAAGTCTCCACTAGGCTCAGGGTGAAAGTTAACTGGAGTTGAAGGAGATCTAAGTCATGCTCTGGTTTGTCAGAGGAAGGGGAGGGGGACACATGGTGGGTTAGGACATTAGGACAGGCATGCCCACTGCAGAGTGGATTCTCCACAACCTGGGGCTTCTCCAGAAAGAGGCAGCCTCAAGACCCCATCTGGCCTCAGCTCCTGGGAAGGCTCCTCTCCCCACTGCTGGCATCCCCTGGAAGAGGGCAGCAGGGGAGGGAGAGCCAGAGAGAGCAGCCTGGTCAGATGGCGGCCTCACTTTGTTCTTCAACCCTCCTTTCCATTTCTAACCAGGGAGGGATTGCTTTTATGAGGCATTTGATTCTGCTCCAGTTGATTGAATTCCTGGTGATTTTTTTTTTAATTCCAAGAGGTCACTTTTGCCTTCAGGCAAAGGAAGACCTATTTACTGGCTGTAATGTAGAGGCAAAGCTTCCTTCTTATGGGGATGCGCTCCCTGCCAAGGACACTTCACACTGCAGGAGTGGCTTTTGATTTAAAGAGCCTCTGGCAATTTACCCCTGAGCTACTGTTTATCAAATCTGCTGGCTATTTCTGTTACATGTGAACGATTCAGCCACGTGCCCGCTGAACCCAGCTGTGCCTCTGCAAAAGCCAAAGTGGGGAAGGTGGGGGGGGTCATGGCGTTGGTATGGAGGTTACAGAAGGAAAAGATGAAAAGGATGCGTGTCTTCCTCCCAGGAATTTTTGAGGCACTTTGAACTTGATTAGAACCCCCGTAAACACTTACGGTGTTGAAACATGACAAAACAGACTCCAGATTCTGATGTGCTGGCTTACCTGATTTAGGATGTCAGCATCATGCTGAGCGCCTAATAAGCTGTTGACCACTGTGATGTGGTTGTTGATAACTGCTAAATGAAGAGGGGACTCCTTACACTGCAGAAAGAAAGAAAAAGTTCAAATCCAAAAGATTCTGACATCATCATTCATAAATCACAGAGCAACTCATCTCAGCAGATGACCTCCTGAGTATGAAAACTGCCCATTTTGCAAGGCATGGCAGTGCACACCTATAATCTCAGCACCAGGGAGGCCGAGCATGAGGAATAAATTCCAGGCTAGCTCAGGCTACATAGTGAGACCCTGTCTCAAAAAACAAACAAACAAAAATCACCCATCCCAGTGTCAGGCCCATGGTAAGTGTTCAGCAAACATCACCATCCAAATTGCTGCCTGGGAAGTGAAATTGAGATCATCTCTCCACTTTCAATTGTTCTGGAACTACTCCTGAGCACTTTTATGGGCCAGCCTCTTTTTAGGATGCCAGGGATTTACTGTAAAGGCCCATTCTCAGGGATCTTCCAAGCCAGTGGGGTAAGCAAGTGTTAATTTTTTAAAAATCACATAAACATGAAAGTTTAAATTGTGATCAATATGCAATTTACTTTTTCAGAAGTGCAGTGGGGGCATGGATGGGGTAGGGGAAGAGCTTTTGGGAGGACATAAGAGACTCTCCTGAAGAACTGGCAGTTGAGCTCAACTATGGGGAACAGTAGTGTTAAATGGGCTGAGCTGAGGCCTCCTCAGAGCCCTCAAACAGCCAAAGGACAATGGAAGAGCCACAAAGAGGGAAATGTGTGCACATTCAGCATTTCATGAATTGATATATCTAGAGTCTGCCATCCCTTCAGCGTCTTGCAGAACTGGTATCTCCACTTACTCAGAGCAGGTTCTCATGTTCAGCTGTCCCACCTCTAAGGACTCCAGCCACAGGGTATTCACCAAGCCCTTGGCAGCCTGGTCTCTAATCTCTTCCCTTGTGCTAAACTATCTGTCATCCTGGCCACACCCCTGCCTCGAGCCATATGGCCCCTCTCACCCATCCCATCCCCATTCCAGCTTCTTACGCAGTCCTTCCAGGCTCAGAACCCACCCCCACACTCACTGGCCCATAGAACTCACTGGACCATGGAGACGCAAAACAAACAAACAAAAAACATGTCTCTTGGAGAGAAGGCGGGAGAGAGAGGCCAGGAAAGAGGTAGCGAAGAAGCACTGAAGGAAGAGGGGGAAAAAACAGTTAAGGCCTGAGAGAGAGAGTAAGGTGGATGAGAGAGGGAGGATGGGAAAGGTGTACAGACAGACGTAGGCAGGAGACGCAGGGAGACTGCAGAACAGTAGCAGAGTGAGTGGTGAGGGAACAGGAATGCAGGCGTGTGGCAGCGGTGATAAGGAGAGCATGCAACTGCACTCAAGTGCACAGATGATATTAACAATAAGCATCAGTTGTGCACCTTAACACATCCTCAACCATGGCGCTTACTGCACACTCACTTCCTCCACAGCTTATACTCTCATCTTGTTTTGGTTTTGCAGTGCTGGGAATGGAACCCAGAGCCTTGTACATGCTAAGCAACCATTCTACGACAGAGCTACCACTATCATAGACTGTTTTAAACACTACCTTAACGGCTTTGCAGAAACCATGTCATTCACACTAATTCTTGGAGTAAGAACTTAGACCCCACTTTATACATTAGGCCCAGAGAGGATCAGTAACCTCCCCATGGCCAAGGAACAAAAAGGAAGCAAAGACAGGACTCAAACCCAGACCTTCCTAACTCTACCATCTGCACTAGGCTCCTTCTCGGGAGACAGGGAAACTGACAGAAGAGAGATGGAGGGAGCCAGGAAGATAGTCACCAGCACACAGGAAGAAGAGAGGCCGGACAGGTAGAACAGGTTGGCTGAGTGGGTAAGAAGCTGTACAAGGGTGAGCAAGGGGAAATGAAGGTGGTAGAAAGAGAAGTCATTGGGTGAAGTCACAGGGGAAGGCTGTGTAGATCTCCTCTGCTCAGGGAACCTTCTCTCTTGAAGCACTAAGCAAGAAATAAGAGAAGGCCTCCCTTATCGCAAAGATGTGGTCAGCTTCCTTGCCAGGGCCACCCGCCTTGCTGGGGCCTAGCTCCCCCTGAGAAACAGGAAGCATCGTTGGACTGAACCTTCTAAATTCAAGCCAATTCCCCTGACTCCACTCTCCAAAAACTGTCAGACATGGTTCAAATCACATCCCTTCTCTCAAGTTAGTGCAATTAATAGTAATGGTTCAGCAAGATCAGAGGAAATAACATTCTCACAGGAGAGATGAAAATATGGTAAAAAATAGAGGAACACTTCTTGTTTAATTCTGGCACAGAGGGCCTTTGTTAATTCTACTGAAGCCAATTCAAACTTCAGAAAACCTAAATCAGTGTAAAGAATTCACTTGCCAAAGAAAAACAAGATCGTTCAGCGAAGGAGGAAAAATATCCCCGTTCATAGTTACTGCACTTTGTCCCTCTCCCAGACTGATGAGGTTACCACAGGAGAGACAGCACCTCTAGACACGAGACCGTATTATTGTGACAAATGCAAATATTGAAAACACAAAGACTTGTTTTGCTCAGGAACTTCAATGACTTTGAAAATTCACCCCTCGGCTTTTATTTCTCAAGATGAATACTCAGTCTCCAAAACAGTCAGCCAGCCTTCCCAGAATGAATTCTTCCTTTGTGAAGCATCTTATCCATCCCCAACGTGTATCTGCGAGGGGCATCTCCCAGCACTGCCAGCCTCACAGTGCCAGGACCAAAGTCCATGTTAACTGTAATCTACTCACTTCCATCCTCTGGTGTAGATCAACATTCTCACTGAGAAGAAAGTTGACAAGGGATGTGTGGCCATGCTGGGTGGCTATCTGCAGAACACTGACATTGAGCTGCAAGAGACAGATGGAGAGGGCAAGGAGGGATCCTGTTACAATCCAGTGTGCTATCTGGTGTTTATCATTTGACAATCAATTAATACAACGAAATAGTGTAACTCTTTAAAAAGGAAATCCTATGTGCTTCCAATTATTGGGGAAAGGGGCTGTTACTTCAAAAATATCTCCCATTTTAGTGCCAGAGTTCTCAAAAACATACATGCAATTGACTAAATGTGTTCCCCCAAAAAGCCATAAGGCCCCACAGTATTTGGAAGTGGGGCCTTTGGGAGAAGATGAGGTTTTAGGGGTAGGGCCCTCATGACTACGATGAATGCCCTTATAAGAAAAGTTCAGAGAACTACCTAACCCTTTTTCTGCATGTGAGAACACAGCAAATAGATAGAACCAGGAAGAGGGTGTTCTAGAACCTAACCCTGCTAACAGCCCTGATCTCAGACTTCCAGAACAATGAGAAATAAATGTTAGTTGCTTAAGTCATCCAGTTTTATGGCATTTTCTTATAGAAGCCTGACATAAGACACTAAGACATTAGGCCTCAGGCAAATATGAGTTAAATTCCCACTTCCCTCCTTCAGGAAGTGTGAAATAGACTAGAATCAAGTCTTCTCTCTATGGTCCACAGCAAATCCCTTTAGTATTGGCCTCAAGGCATGCCTCCACAGTTTCTTGCTTCCTGTATCTGTTCACTCCCAGCTCTCCTCTTTTCCAGGTATGTCTTTAAAGCCTGGCATGATTCCTACCTATGTGAAGTGTTGCCTCAGCACCCTTTCACTTCACTCCTTTCCCACCTTTAATTGACTCTGTTCTGCTACCTCCCACTGCAACCCATGTTCAAGTGTCTTCACATAGTACCTAAGACAGACGTTATCCAGATCAAGGGCACGGTCTGATCTTGATTATTCTTCAAGTGTCAACCAGCTTACTTTGCAATAATACAAGGCAATGAATTAGTTATTGATTGACTCATTATAAGATTGCCTCAAAGTATATTCAGGTCCTTCATATAAAGGTACTAGGGAAAGTTGTCCTCCCAAAGTGGTTGCACTGCTATTCCCTGATTCACATGTTCTGCTGCAATATGACTTTGCCACCACCCCCTCCTTGAATCTGAGTGAACCCTGTAACTCTGACCAGTAGAATATAGCAAAAGTGTCAGTGTGCTAGTTTCAGGCATGTAACTTCCCCCTGGAGCCCAGCAGCCATGCTCTAAGAAGGCTAAGGCTTAGCAAGGAGTCTACCATTGGTACTCTGGTCAAAACCATAGCTGAACCCAGTTGACAGCTGGCATCAACTGCCAGACACTGGATACTTAGCTGAGGCAACACTTTAAACGTCTAAAGTGCTGATTGACATCTGACTGTAATCATATAACAAAGCCAAATAAGTGACTTGGACCCAGTCAACTTACTTCAATAGTTGTGAGAATGAAAATGGAGTCCCTTTTGTTTAGTCCAAATAAATAAAGCCAGGATGAATCTCACATACACGTTCCTGATAATAAGAGCCCTTCGCAAGACTCTGCCAGAACCACAACTTTGCACAAAGGCCACTGAAACCTTACACAAAAAAATACCTCTGCAAGGGCATCTGCCCCGCAACTATCTGTTTAATCTTGGACCAAAGCCATTCTTGTTTTTCATCCTTACAGTCAAAGACCGTTGCTTCAAAATATCTTCTGTAATACTCTTTGTTTTTGATTTACAAACTTCCCCTGGCCTTCACCTCCTGAAATAAGCAGATAGTTTCCTAAGACTGTAACAAGTATATTCTTGCAATGCTATACTGTTCCATATAAACTTCATCTTTAGAGACCTGTCCTCTGTATATTCTTGAAGTTGACACTACAAAGCCATGAAAGATGACAGCACATTGTTGTTTCAAGTCACTGAACTCCAGTTGGTTTGTTTTGAAGCAATAGAAAACTGGAACAGATTCTGACCAACTACAACCTACTTGAGCTGATGATAAATGCTACATGACCTGGCATAAGTCATTATCAAGCATGGCCTCTTTGTCTTCATCTGTGAAAATGACATAAGCACCTACATTCATTTTCTTTGCTGCTACAACAAACTTAGTGGCTTAATACAAATGTATTATTCTGGAAATCAAGAAGTATGAAGTGTCACTGGACCAAAAAATGAAAAAGTATTTAAAGGCATATGTTCCTTTCTGGAGGCCTCCAAAAGAATTTGTCTCCTTGCCTCTCCCAGTTTTCAGAAGCATCCTGCATTCTCAGGCTTATGCCCCCTTTCTCCACCTTTAAAGCCAGCAGTGGTTGGCTGAGCCCTTCCCACAATACCTCATCCTGATCTCCTTGCCTGCCTTCCTCTTCCACTTTCAGGGACATTCTGAGCACATTAGGCCCACCTAGACAACCCAGAAAAATCTCATGTTAAGGTCACCAGATTAGGAAACTTCATTCCAGCTGAAATTCCCCCTTTGCCATATCACCTTACATATTCACAGGTTCCAAGGATTAGGATCTCACACCATCCTACCTTTCTCTTCAGCCATAGTAATACTGGGAAGATAAATGAGCTAGCAAATGTTTATAGTAATCACAAATCATTTTATTCACCAATTATATGCCAGTCACTATGCTGGAGAGTGGAGGAACATGCTGGTATACAAACCTGACAAGATCTCATGGGGGTAGACAATCAATTGATCCATGGATCGGTGGAACAGCAGATCAATAAGTCAGTTTCTTTGGAATAAATCTAGTTAATAGATTCTAGATGTGATTAGAAGAATAATATCTGCTGGTCATAACTGCTACAATAAGAAGTAAAATGGCATGACTGGATGAGTGACCAAGAACACCTTTTTTTTTTTTTAACAGTACTGGAGTTTGAACTCAGGACCTACCTTGACCCACTCCACCAGCCTTTTTTTATGATGGATTTTTTTCAAGATAAGGTCTCACAAACTATTTGCCTGGGGCTGGCTTCGAACTGTGATCCTCCTGAGTAGCTCTGATCTCTGCCTCCTGAGTAGCTAGGATTACAGGTGTGTACCACTGGCACCCAGCAAGAACACCTTCTTGGTTAAGGTGGCATTCAGACTGAGACCAGAATGATAAGAGGCACCCCAGTGGGAAGACCTGAGGCTGCCTAAAATGAAACCTATTTCTGAAGAACTCAAAGCTAGCCTCCTACAGCAGGAGGAGCTGTGGGTCCTGCAGCATCTTACCACTGAGGCACTACAGGCACAATGTATGGGACCTACAGGCTTTTTAAGAAGTCAGAAAATATGTGAATGCTAAATAATAAAATAATTACTAGCTCTAAGATCTCAAAAGAAAACCACAAAATCAAATTGAATCAATATTTAATTGACATATTCATACTTCATTGATTGTTAAATATAATATTCATAAAATATTCATTACATTTGTAAACAATTTGAAGGTTTCATTTTCTTCACCTCCTTCAAATTCCCAAGTATGCACATAGGGTTGTTAGGTAAAGTTTGTTGTAGACAAATAATTGTAAAAGCAAAAATAAAAGAGCCTTTTAGAGCAATTAAGAGCAAAAATGCCTTTAAAGTAGAACGTGGGGGCATCAAAATGTAGTTGGTAAGATATGAGGTAGGGCCTCCAGAAGCATGAGTTCTTAGGGCCTACCAAAATCTTTGCTGGACCCAGGCAGTTAACAAGGCTCTGAAGAGAGTCTGTTGCCCAAACTCTGGGCAGCCCCTCCATCTAGCACAAATTAAGGGAGCCAGTTATCAACCAACTCCACAATCTTACTCCAGTCACCTCCACAGAAATGACTCATTTGTGAACCCTCTCACCTTGGTGACAGGGTGGAAGCAGAAGGACACAAAAGCAAACTCCTGGAAACCAAGATAAGTCAGTGTCAGCAGACCAAGTGTTTCCATGATTAAACACATCAATCACCTAGAGATGTGAAAGCAGCACCAAGTCCAGAGCAGGAATAGGCGTGAACTACAGTGGGGGTTGAGATTGTTAATCTAGGAAGTGTGCTAATAAACTCAGGTAGAAAACTCAAGAAGTTTTGGTAGTCAGCTTTCCATTACTAGAATGAAGTACCTGACATAGGCCAATTTATAAGGAAAAGAGATTTATTAGGTTCACCTTTTTTAAACTGGAAGTCCAAATCTCATGGAGCAAGTCTGGCAAGGGTCTTCATTGCATCATGGCAGGAGCATGTGCATTTCTATGTGGTCATCCTCCCTCTCCTTATAAAGTCACCATGATACAATCTGGGGGCCTTCACCCTAATGAACTAATCTAATAACTTCCCAAAGGTGTACCTCTAAACAAGATGGTCAGATGAGGTTTCTACCTTCAATACCATTAACAGAAGACTTTGGGGATTAAACTCCTCCATGAGTTTGGGGGAGATAAACCATCTTCAAGCCATAGCACTAGTAAAAACTGAAGATGGACTTTGACAACTTCCATTTGCCTAAAGGCTGAAACAAAGCAGCTGAGGTCATGGCCATAAGGATATGGACCATGGGAGCTCTACCCAGGCGGGGAGAATGTGGACCCGTGCACATGAAAATCATTACAAAGCAATATCCTCACAAGGGTAAAATAAGTATGTACAGATGTGAGGGGAGGTACAGAACAATGCAGTGAGCCCCCAAGTCTTGCTAACTGGGGAGACCTTCCCAGGGACTTGGGAGTGAATGGGGATGGGATGGGGCAGCTGTGCAGCAACTGAAAAGCAGAATGGTTCTTCACACACTGAATGTTCCATGGCACCATAAATCCTTTATTTTGCATTTGTTTACTGCATCAGTCACTTTGCAACATCAACTTGCTGTCTTGGTGTTCTATTCTCTGTCATAATCCTTGTCTATGAAATGTTGTATTAACATTTATCATGTCATTATAGATTAATTATTTTTAATCAGTGTTCTGTGATGAACATTTTCCATATTGCAACATATATTTAGTATTAATTATTATCATTTTAATGGGTACATAACTTTCTAAGAGATATACCAAACTACTGTCCAGCCTTCTCTTGTCATTCAGTGCTCATACAGGTTGTATCCAATTCTTTAGCTATTGATGGTAACTTCTTCATCTGCCTTAGTGCATGTAGTTAGTTTTTTCTTCCTCTTAGATTACCCCTTACTGTAATTTCTCATACATGGGTGAAAAGAAAAGTGAGGAATGGCTTTTCAAGAAGGTTGTACAACTCTTCACTTCCACCACAAGACTATAAATCATTACCTGTTTTGGACTTAACTCTTTTTTTGGTGGTGGTGGAGGGTTTGAACCTAGGGTCTTTCAGATGCTCTACCATTTGATCCATGTCCCCAGCCTGGGGATTTATTCTTGATTCTAGTGTTTAATTTTGTACCTTTTAAAAGTGAATTGTTTACACATTGTGCTATATAAAGATTTCCAAAATATCAATGATTAAGATAAAAACAAGAAGGTGCGTGAAGTATATATCATATAGTGTTTTGCCATTCGTGGTGTTGGTGTGTACATGACTGCATAGTTTCGTCAAGTCACACTTTCCATGTGAACACACAGAAGCTTGCTGGGCAGATAAATAGACTGTGTGTGATATCAGTTTCAAGAGTGAAACTGAGAGGTGGGATTGGAGTAAGACACTTTTCTATCATATACCCTTAAGCACTATATTTCAACTTTTTGTCATGAGTTTTCATTATAATTTAACATTAATTAGAAAAACAGAAAAAGAAGCAAATCACCTGGCCATGACTGCGCTGAGAATTCAAGCACCAGAGTCAGTTGTGAGTTTGCATCCTTGCACTACTGTTTACTAGCTGTATGATCCTCGGTGAGTTCATTAGTTTCTCTAAACTGAAGTTTTCTGATCTAAAGGATGAAGATAATAATAGAGTCTTGAGGGTTTCAAAGGCTCTTAACAAAATACAGAAGTATTCTATGTTTAGCGAAACGCACCATCCAAACTTTTCAGGCACCAGGCTGACCTCTTGAATGTCACACAGTTACCCTTTTTTTTTTCTTTTTCCATTATCTACTATTTACAGACAAGTACTAGCTGCTATGGAAAAACAGAGTTAAGAATGTTTGTCTTTAAGAGGAGACAAAAAGCTGAGAACAATGGCTTACAACTGAAATCCCAGTTACACAGGAGACATAGATAGTAGTGGCTGAGCAAAAACCCAAGATTCTATTAGAAAAATAACTAAAGTGAAAGGGGTGGAGATGTGCCTCAAGAGGTAGAATGCATAAGGCCCTGGTTCAAACCCCAGTACTACCAAAAAAAAGCAAAAAAGTGAGAAGTACTTGTTCCTTTTGCCCCATTTTTAATTATTCCTTTCTCAAATGAGTTGGAAGAATGGCCTTGCGTTGGGGAGATGTCAGTGGAGGGTATCATAGGTAAATCAATTAACTCTTAACAAAACAGAGTCTATTATAAACATTAATTCTGCCAACACGCAGCAAATGATCAAGTGAGGACCAGTTTCCAAAAAGCATTCTAAGTCCCCTCCCCCTGTGCAAGTGAACACAGCCCCAGGCACGTACTTTATTTGGAATGTTCACATCACTTCCTGCTGCCAGTAGCACTTTGCTGCATTCTTCATGACCTCCTTCAACAGCCAAAAAGAATGGTGTTTCTCCATTCTGACAAAAGGGAAAATAAGTTAAAAATTAATTGCCCCTTGGCATGGAATGAAATTACTTTGAGAAATTGTGTTTTCTCTATATCTTTTGTGCATTACACTTTTTTTTTCTTCTCTTTTGGCAGTACTGGGGTTTGACTCAGGGCCTTGCACTTATCAGGCAGGTGATCTACCACTTGAGCCACACACCCAGCCCTACTTGCTTTAGTCATGTTCTGAATGAGGTCTTGCATTTATGCATGGGTCATCCTGAACATATTCTCCTATTTACACTTCCCACATTGCTGGGATGAAAGGCACTTGCCTCCACACTCAGCTTTTTTTATTGTTTGAAATGAGGTCAGGTGACGTCATTGCCTAGGCTAACCTTGAACTACGGTCCTCCTCATCTCAGCCTCCCAAGTAGCTAGGATTGCAGACCTGAACCATCAAGCCTGATGTCTTTTGCACATTATTCTTAATAATAGCACTATTGAGCACCTGTGTGCCAACCTCTACTGCCAAGACTATATTCTTTGGCAGTGTATGCTTTGGCACCTTGTAAGGTCAGGGTTAATATTATCCTTATTTTATAGATAAGAAAATTAAACCTCAGGTAAAAGTGGAAAAGGCAGGATACAATTCCAGCTGTTTAGTCCAAAGCTTGCATACTTTACTCCATTATGCTGCCTCCTTTCAGACTCTCCATTCCCAATTCATAGTCTTAATCTTTATTAACCTTTCTAGCAACCATTTATTAGACTGTATGGGCTGTGTCCTATGTGACACGAGTCCTGGTCACAAGAAAGTAAAAGCCTGTTAAGAAAGATAAACTTGGAAATAAGGAATTATAATGTAGCATGAAACATAAAAAATTAGAAATATATACCAAATATAGCTTTAGTCTTTACAGCTGACTTAATATGTCACATGTCATTGAAAAAAGAAATATTAATTTTTAAAAAGTGATCTCAACACTAGTTTCCTGAAACTCATTAGAACACTGGTAGGACAAAGTTAGTCCAAATGTAGCAGCAAAAGAAATAACTGGCCTCACATGATATGTGGATGTCTCCCTTTCCTCATGCAGACCCTTCCCCCACTCCCTAGCCATTTTTCCCCTTGAATGTTATTCTGCTTAAGAACTGCACTTGGATAGCTCCACAGGGTTTCACTCATCACTCATTAAGAAAGAACATGGGATCAGTGTTCCCATCCCAACACAGTGGGAATATTACATCATGAGATGCTTTACCTTAGTGCATGGGACAGTTTTTATTTACAAAAGAATTTTTCCTCATTTTTTAAAAGAAAAGAGATACCAAAAGGGAGAACCCCCCCAATGGGAAAATATTTGCAAAAAAAGTGAAAGAAAGAATTCACCTTTTTAATAAAGAACCTAATAAACACTCATACTTTTGATCCAATAATCTATCTGTGATAATATATCCAAAGGAAATAGTGAAGAATTCAGACTACAGTTCATATACAAAGGGATTTATAATAACATTATCTATAGTAAAGAGAAATTAAAACAAACAAAACATCCAAGAGCTAGTAAATATTTAAATGAACTCTGGGTACCCATTAAAACTTTATCAGTATAAGAGCACAAAGGAAACAGCAAAAAAAAATTAGTTATACATATGATATCCTTACTGTCTGGAGAAAACACAAAATTGATATTTATGTTTATTTTTAGCTCAAAATTTATATTTCTAGTGTATTTTATAATATATTAATTTAATTATTAATATATGTAATAAGTACATGCTTACGCTTTCTTTTGTGTGTGTACACTGGGGTTTGAACTCAGGACTGTGTACTTGCTAGGCAAACACTCTACCACTTGAGTCACACCCCAGCCCTTTGTACTTTCTTTATTGATATGAGTTTGCTACCAAGAATGTTTGAAGACCCCTGCTCTAGAGCACATTCACCTGGTGTACTCTAACTGATCTGGTAACAGCATATAACAGGAAACAGAACCTTCCATGAACATTGGGGGACTCATCCAAGAAAATAATATTGCTGTATACTTTATTTTGTGCAAATTAAACCTATCATAATCTGCAATTACATTTCTCCCCCATGTGCCCTGACTCCAAAATAGCTAAAAAGTGGATGAAATCCACGTGCATACATCCCAGTGGTAAAGTACTAAAACAGAACAGAGCAAGCATGAGGAAATTAAATTCAATCCTGTCACTATAGGACTTGATCTCTACTATGGTTTGAATATTTGTGTCCTTCTAAATTTCATGCTGAAAATCCCTAATGCAGTAGTGGGCCTTTAGGAGGTGATCAGGTCTCCATCCTCATGAAAGGGCTTGGGTGAGTGTGTTTAGCACTTGTGCCTTCTGTAATGTGAAGACACACCAATAAGGTGCCATCTTGGAAGAAAAGATCAGCACCCACCAGACACTGAATCAGTTAGCACCTTGATCTTGGACTTCCCAACATTTAGACTGTGAGAAATTCATTTCTACAATTTACACATTACCCAATAGAATGTATTTTGTTATGGTGGATTTAGACAATACCTACAAAGATTTCCGAAGACCAGTCACACCCAAGATTTACCTAGTGGTTCTTGTTCTTTTTGAGTTTTAGTAAGTTGTTTGGGCTTGTTTCATTTTTATTTTCTTTTAGGCTATGTAGCTCAAACTGACCTCTAACTCACAATCTTCCTGCCTCAGTCTCCCAAGTCCTAGGATGACAGCCATGCATCACCACATCCTGTTCTGCAAAACCACATTTTGAATAACAAGAACTTAAAGAAAAATTGAACTCAACATGAAGTTTGGGAAGACTTACCAACTTATTTGCTTATTTTTCCATGTATATCTAAGATAAAAATCTAAAACCTCCTTCAAGAAGCATAAAATAAATATTCTAAATGACAAGAAAGCTTTTTGGTTCAACTGGTTGCATTATTTTTTCTTAGTGTTAAATAAAATTATAATGTGCCTTACCATCACTGGTAGCTTAAATTAAATATGTACAATATTACTTCTTCTAATATCTCTTATGAGGAACAAAGTTTAAAAATTATCAGAACATTGAAGGCCAAGAGATCTCCACTCACTTGAGTTTCCCAAGAGTCATCCAAGGAATCATTGACTCAAAGGTTAAAAAGTGATCAGAGCAGATAATTCACAAATCTTCCTCCATAGGTACAGCCCCTCTGCCAAACCTAATATTCAGTTTCTGTCTCCTTTTACTCTCCATCTGAATATACCTCTCTCCAAATGCCTCAAAGAAACTCACCCAAACCTACATGACCTACCTAACCTACCACCTCCTCCCTATGCTCCTCAGCTCAGGGATGGGAACCCCACCTTTCCAGTAGGCCAAGCAGAGAATTGGGAGTCAGGAAGACCTTTCTCTCTCTAATCCCTGCTCACAGGTCTTGCAGACTCTGCCTCCTCTTGCTCTTCATCTATTGGTAGCCTGTGAGTTCCACAGTGAGAAGTCTTCCACAGTTCTTGCTTTGCCCATCTCAGCAGGCACCTTAAGGAGCCTTCATCTCCAGGATCTCCCAGCACCAATCCACCTTCAAATCACTGTGATAGTTACCAGCCTATTCCCAAGATGGATTCCAGCTCTTTTCGCTGTTTAAAACCTTCTACGACCTCTGCTGGTATTAGGTCAAAACCAATCCCTCTTCCTGGTAAGCAGAGCCACTCATTTGCTTTAGCCCAGTCAGCTTTGACCTTTCCGAGCCCACCCATCCTCAATTTCTGTCACCCTGAATGTGCCAGTCCTAGGACACACCATGCTCTTCCTTCCCTTAGTTCCTGTACTGGGCTCTTTCCTACATTCACATCCTTCTCAGAGTCCCTCCTGCCAACAGCCACTCAAATACCAAAACATATCATCCCCTTTCTGAAGGCTGCACTTCCTTGTTTTTCGGGGTTTTTTTAAGACTGCAATTTATGAAACAGATTTTCTTCTGTGTCTCCATGGCATACAGTACGCACATCTGTAACTGGACATAGCCATAAGATTTCTTTTCATGCCCTTCTTGCCCTGTAAGCTTCCAGCATAAAAACACATAATTCGGAGACATTCCAAGATGGCGGCTAGAGGAAGGAAGCAGAAAGTGACCCTCCTATAGTGAAATCTTGGAGAGACGCTGGAGACACACTTTGCAGGCATAATCACTGAGAAAAGGCTTAACTTTGACCCCTCCACATCTCCAGCTGGTGCAGAGAATCTCCACTTCACGTTAAATGGAGAAACAAGGAGGGCCCCCGGGGCCGCCAGTGGCCGGCACCCATACGGCTTGGGAAGACGCAGACCAGGTGAGCTTCGCGGTACCACGGTAGCCCCACAGACAAGCCTGGGCCAGAGCAGCATAGCCCCCTGGACAGACTGACCTCCACCCGGGAAAAAAAAGAGAAACTGAGTAATAAGCAATAAGAACAGTTAAGACACGCTGGAAAGAGGGTGGGGCGCCCTGAGCGCTGAAGATTGGGGGAAGGGAATCCTTCCTGGGACTGTAAATAAACAAGCCGGGCGGGCCGGAGAGCCTCTGGCGGAAGCGGGGCGCGCCCAGCAAACAGGAGCGGGGAAGCTTGTGAGAGTGTGGAGGAGGGAGAAAAACTCCACAGGAGAGGAGGGAAGACCCACTTCCCACGTGAACTGTAAACAAACATGGCGGCCGGCAGGAGCAGCAGCACCGCCCAGTAAGCAGGAGCAGGAAAGCTTCTGAAAGTGGCAGTGGGAGGAAAACTTCAGAGGAGAGGGGGGAAGACCCACCTCCCACATGAACTGTAAATAAACACGCAGGCCTGACAACGCTGGGGCAGTGTCACCTTTCCCAGTGCTTGGAAAGGGGAAAGCCTGTAGCAGAGGCTCCCGCACAGGAGAACTCTGAACAAACAAAGCCTGCGGGGCCAGGTGAGTGCTAAGCTCACCCCAGAGATCTGCATAAATAACCTCCAGCACAGGCTGAGAGCAGCAGGCAGGCAAGCCACAGTTGCAGATACCACTCTCAGAACTGTCTCCAGACGCTTT